TATATGTATATTAATTAAACACTTAAAAAACAAAACAAAAATAGATGGAAAGAAACAGAAAGAAAAATAAAGTTACGAACACGAACAACACATCGACGATATTTAATCAGTTTTGTACTTCTACACTCGTTTGGTTTCTACACGCACTTTAATTACTTTATATATACATATGTACATACATAAATAGCGTTTATAACAGTTAACTTAAAAACGCTTAAGCGGCAAGAAATCCGTTATTTTGCATTTCCCTTTTGCAGCGGTTGCATGCCATGCACACATACACACAGTGACTCCGCCACACACACACACACATACATACATGGCGGGAGCTGCGCTGCTGTCCGCGGGTGTCTCAGGTGTTTTTGTTGCTGTTTTAGTGGCTTTTATTTAATATCCACTTGGTAAATGTTTTAAGAATGTCTTATTTTATCACCAGGAACACATATTTGTAGTTATTTATTAATTTCACTTTGGCATTTGTTCAATTTGTGGTTTTTTCTTATTCCCTTTCCCGCTCTCACAGCTCCAATTGGAGGGAAAAACCGCGTGCACTTCACATTTACATAAATTCGGTAATATTTCACTTGTTTGGTGTTTAAATAAGTGTCCCCGACTTAAATGCAGTTAGTTTAACTGTTTTCACCGCTTGGTTGGTATTATTAAACGTTTTTTCTGACCTAAAACGTATTTTAGCTGCTGCCCGCCTAAATTTTCCGCTTGGCAATGTCGATCTCTTCCTCTTCTCTGCTCATCTGCATTCTCTGAGAGTCACTCAAAGCCATTCCACTCTTGTATACGGCTGGACAACATCTAATTAGAACACACTCATTGGCGGCTGCTGCAATGCTTAATTGAGTGATCCCACATAAAGCGCACTTAGTTATGTTGATTTAATTATTTTGTAGGTATTATCACACCTTTATTCCGGCACTAAACGTTTTCCAGCAGCAGCACAACATAATTTTACACTTTGGCTTTCCTACTCTTTCACCTCTCTCTTGGGCAATGAAAACCGTTTGGCAATGAGGCCATTTCAGGAGCGGGAGAGCGAGCTTCCAAGCAGAGCGAGCGAGGTGAAGAAGGAAAAGAAAAGAAGAGGAGCTTGAGATCAGAAGTGAAAAAATTTATTGCGTGCGGGTGCTGCTGCTGCTAAATAAATGTTTTTAATGCGGAAAAAACGCTTAATAATACCTACAAATGGATTAACTAAGTAAAACTAACTGCACTTAAGTAGGGAACAATTAATTAAACACCAAACAAGTGAAATATTAACGAAATAATGGAAATGTGAAGTGAGTGCATTTTTTCACTCCAACTAGAACTGTGTGAGTGGGAAAGGAAATAAGAAAAACTCATAAATCGTACAAATGCCGAAGTGAAATGAATAAATAACTACAAATCTATGTTCGAGAATATAAAATAAGACATTCTTAAAACATTTAACAAGCGGATATTAAATTAAAGCCACTAAAACAGCAACAAAAACACCTGAGACTGCAGCGGCGAGCAGCGCAGCTCCCGCCAATAGATATGTATGTGTGTGTGTGTGTATACCTAAGTCAATGCATGGCAAATAATCGCTTTCTCTTTGGCTGTGAAAAACCGTTTGATTTGGCAATGAGGCCAATTCAGGAGCGGGAGAGCGAGCTTGCAAGCACAGCGAGCGAGGTAAAGAAGGAAAAGAAAAGAAGAGGAGCTTGAGATCAGAAGTGAAAAATTTTATTGCGTGCGGGTGCTGCGGCTGCTAAATAAATGTTTTTAACGTGGAAAAAACGCTTAATATTATCAACAAATAGTTTAAATCAGTTAATCTAACTGCATTATGTGCCGGGACACTTAATTAAACACCAAACAAGTGAAATATTAACAAAATAATGGCAATGTGAAGTGGACGCTTCTTTTTCACTCCAACTAGATCGGTGTGAGTGAGAAAGGGAATAAGAAAAAGTCATAAATCGTGCAAATGCCGAAGTAAACCCCATAAATAACTACAAATCTATGTTTGTGAATATAAAATAAGACATTTCTAAAACAGTGAGCAAGTGAATATTAAATTTAACCCACTTAAACAGCAATAAAATAAATAAATTTATTTAGCAAACCTGAGACACCCGCCGGCAGCAGCGAAGTTCCCGCCAATACATTTGTATGTGTGTGTGTGTGTGTGTATGCCTTGGTCAATGCACGGCAAGTGAAAAAATGCAAAATAACTGTTTTCTTGCGAGTTAACTGTTCTAAAAGCACAAACGAAATTACAAAGTTCTTAAAGTTTGCGTTTTAACTAAGCGAATAATATAGTGCAATGATTGAGAAATTGTTGATTTGTGAATATTTAAATATTTTATTTAAATATGAAGTAAGCTTTAATTCCCTCTCCATTCGGAACTGGCTCAGTGATGAAAAATTCAAAATTGTCCAAATGCAGAAGTAAACTTACTTAATAAATAACAAACTTTTAATAATATCACTAACAATAATATCATTACAATTTTTTTAGACTCCCGCGGACTTTATAAACCAGCAGCAGCAGCCGCAGCCGCCGATGAGTGTATTCTTATTAGACGTTGTCAAGCCATGGTTCTGATTGAGTAATCTCAAATACCGTATGCAAGAGTGGAATGGCTTTGAGTGACTCTCAGAGAGCGGTGAGGAGGTGAACGGAAACAGATAAGAGGAAGAGATCGGAATTGGCAAAGTGAGTGTAAATTAGACGAGCTGCTGCTAAAATACGTTTTATATGTGGAAAAATATTTAATAATACCAACTAAACGACTAAATCAATTAAATTGAATGCATTTAAAGCGGCAATACTTAATTAAACACCAAACAAGTGAAATATTAACGAATTGAGAATTGAGTGATTTTGTTTAACTCCAACTAGAACTTTGAGAGCGGGAAAGTGAATAAGAAAAACTCATAAATTGGACAAATGCCGAAATATTATTAATGAATAACTAAAAATATATGTTCGTGATAATTAAAACATACATTTCTAAAACATTTACAAAGTAAACATTGAATTAAAGCCACTAAAACAACAACAACAATACCTGAGACTCTCGCGGTCAGCAGCGCAGCCCCCGCCGTGTATGTGTGTGTGTGTTGGAGCCAATGCATATTTGTGAATGTGTGCATGGCAGGTAACCGCTCCAAAAGAGAAAATGCTAAATAACTGATTTCTTGCGGTTTTCAGTGTTAACTGTTTTAAGGTAATAAATTACAAAATAAAGTAATCAAAGTGCGTGTACAGACTAAACGAATATAAACAAAAACTAATTAAATATCAGTAGTCGGTATATTTTTCGTGTGCGTTAATTTACAGAACTTTCCATTTCTTTCCATTTATTTTTGTTTTTTTTTCAAGTGTTTTAAAAGAAGGAAAATCTTGTGAGTTGCCATAATTGAAAGTGTATTTTTTGTATTTTTTTTAAGTGAAAAATAACCCCTTCAAATGGGTAAATGTTTTTTTTTATTTTTTTTAAGTGCTTTATTAATAAATATATTAAATATCTTCAAATCCGTGAGTTTAAAAAGTGAAAAATAAAGAAGAAAGTGTGTGTGAGTGAGAAAAAGGAAAGAAAGGAAAGAGACAAAATATCGCGTGTGAACAAAAATGAATGGACTAATAATAAATTGCGACACAAGGAGAAAAAGACGACAATTAAGGAAAAAGAAACGAAGAAGAAGAATAAAAAGACGACCAAATCGGTAAGTGAGAAATTAATTTTATTTTTATATTGAATGTATATTGATTCCCTTATACTCATAACATAATGGCCACTTTTTCCGGATATATGCATTTGGTTTACAATTTATCTCATTCTTTAAAAATTGAAAAAAAAGGGTTAAATTTTATTGTAAAATTTATAAATATTAATACCATAATATTGTAATATATAAAACTTTGCAACATTTTAGGTTACCCTGAAATGTTATTTATTTGATTCCTTTACAGAATTTAAAAATATGTCGGGTTCACACTTTAACGAATTGTGTGTAACTTTCCCAAAAAAACCAGTATTTGTTTATACACACATGTAAAATACATAACATATATGTATTTTACCACAGTTCCTAGAATGTCCGCTACATACGCTTGATATTGTGGCGCCACGGAGGCACACATGTATGATGTATTCTACATACATGTCATGCCTTTCAAAATAAACCATGTTAAGATTATATTAAAAATAATATAAAAACACTTTATATATATAAAAAATTCTTAAAAATTATACCAAATATTTGACTTTTTTAAACATAATTATAGACTTGGTGAGCAACATTTAATATCCCCCTAAAAGACACTTTTGAAAGAGAAATTAAAATTTCAGCGATTTTGTTTTGGTTTATTTCTTTTTTATTTTATTTATTTACTCTTTTTTTGTTTTATTTTAATTTAATCATACTACTTATAATTGCGCGTTTTTTGTAGTTTCCATTTATTGATTTCCGTTTTGTTTGTTAATTTTTTTTTACCGAGCTGTCAGAGTTTTCCGTTTTATGTATATATTTATTTTTGGAGTTTATAAGTCGTGCGTATTTCTTCAATTGTTTACGTAAGACAATCCCCCAATGACTGTGCGTCATTCCACCTACCTTCATCTGCAGCTTCCGCATGATGCGGGTCTCCTCCCACCGATCCAGTTCGTCCCACTCCTTTCCCCGCTTACGCAGAAGATAGTAACGGTACATGACGATGGTCACGGCCAGGAGCAGGGCCAGACCAGTGCCGGCGGCGGCTCCCAAGACCGCTGAACTAACCATAACCATTTTTGCAGTGAGTTTGGTTTTCTGGAAAATAAAAAAATACAATGTATTTAATTATATAACTATTTGAAGAAGTTCTTGAAGCTCTCATAAAAAAATATTAAACAAAGCATTAAATTCTTTCTATAATCTAATTTAAGATTAACAGTTGGAAACATTTTTATTTTATTTGCTTGTTATTTACTGAAAATAGTGGCATTTATTTTAAATACATCATTTTATCTGCTTCTCTTTATTTGTTATTTATTTACAACATCATTTACTACATGCATACGTACAAATTATTTATTTTATTTATATTCCTTTTAAATGAATTGTTTTAAATAGCAAATCGAAATGTCTTTCGTTTTGGATATTCTGTTTGCGTTTCCCTGCAGCTGCTATACTCTTCCCCACTCTCGGCACTTTCACATGAGTTAAGGCTTTCGTTCTCCAAATCAAAACGATCCTCTCGATTCCGTGATTTTCCAATGGATTCTGTAGATGTGATCATCACAAGAACCAATAATAAAGTCACCAGAAACGCAGCTCCAAAGGTGAGACGCATTCTGACCACACGAGGGAAAACTATTCAAATGTGTGGTTCGGAAAACACTGTCTATCGTTAGAGTTTTCTGTCATAATAAAAAAAATAAACTCTTGTTTAGAAATACTCCAGATCTAATGAATACCTTTGTCTAGAGTCACAGCTGTGTAAACTTCTCTGGAGCCGGAATAACCCCCACATCTTGCAAAACAATTCCACATTGTGTTAAAGAACACGTCATTATAGTTTATTTTCTAACTGATGGCGTAGATTGGGGCTTTTAAATATATATATTAGAAAGATATTGAAAATATGGAGAGGGAATAAGCATCTAAAGCAAATACTTGTATCCATATACTAGCATTTAAAACCAGGTTTTATTAGTTGTGCGGAAATCTTTTTATATTACAACTTTTTCAAAAGTCCAAGTTCATATGATGCACGTAGCCATTTCTTAGTATGGCAAATCGTGGATATGGCTTAAAGTCCTCTACATGTTCGGGATAATTAAGGAAATTCAAGGGTACAGCATCAGTGGGTTTATCCACGGTGGCTTCATCCTCATCCTCGTCATCTTCTTCGACAACAAGCTCCTCTTCGTCCTTTCCACTAACACCAGTGGCGTCTTTTGTCTGTTCTGCAGTAGGATCCTTGCTTAGATACGTTTTATCATCCGTTGGATCCTTGCTAAAATGTGTTTCCTCTTCCTTGCTTTGATAAGTTTCGTTAGTTGTAGGATCCTTGGTTTTATATGTTTCCTCAGAAGTCGGTAATTTGCCGAAATATGTTTCTTTTGCCAATTTTTCCAATAGCTTAGAGTTCTCTATCATTTCAGCTATCTGAGATTTAGTAAGCAGCCTTAGGCTATCCCGATTTTTAGACTCTTTCAATGGCTTTGAAGAGATTAGGGTAACTCCCAAAAAGACTATCAAACTTGAAACAAATAACGCACGCATTTCTTCAGCGTTCTAAGGAAAACTGTTCAGTTCGACATTGAAAACAACTGTTTTAGTCAAGAAATTTCGTCTTAGACATTTTGTGTTTCTTTATTTAGAGAAGAACTGAAGTTTATAGGTAGAAAGTGTATTAGAAAAGTGAAAGTATCTTGAAGACTTAGGCCTTGCGGAGCAGGAGACCACGCCTGTGGATCACGACTGGACCATGACCACCGAATCTGGGCCAGAAGGGACGAATGTGCTTCCTGGGCTTGGCAGTGGTGGTGGTGGTGACCTCATCCTCATCGCTGGACTCTTCATCAGCAGAGTCGCCTTCGGATTCCTCAGCAGCGTTATCCTGAGACCCTTCAGCATCGTTATCCTGTCTCTCTTCAGCATCGTTATCCTGACTCTCCTCAGCATCGTTATCCTGACTCTCCTCAGCATCGGTATCTTGGGTAGCCTCATCACCAGAGGATGCTGCAGTATCCTCTCCATCAGCAACTTCCTCCACAGCGGTGTCTTCATCCTCAGCCGGGCGAGCAGCCACAAAGCCAACAGCCAGGAAGGCCAAAAGAGCGACAATAAACAGCGAACGCATTTTGAACTTAAGTCAACGAAGGTATTACGAAAACTACTTTCCAATTTCGCTCAACTCTCCACCTTTTATAGGAAAAGGTTCGCGAATTCATTTTCTCCGGCTTAGTTGATATTACCAACAAAAAAATCTTTATTTACCCATTTTGGCTGTTTAGACAATTGTCTCAATGGAAAGTTTACAAGCTTTTATTATTTTTGGTGATTCGCGTCAGTGGGGGGTTCCATTGAGATGGTTCTATAGGGTTCTCTGCCTGGTGGGTCCGGGGATTAGGACCACAGGACCAATGCCACCCCATCGGGGCCATCTGGGCCTAGGTGAAATAACTTGATCATCGCCAGAACCTTCTTGTTCACTTCCACTATCTGTGCTATTATTATTGCTGTCACTCTGATTGGAAGTATTATTATCGCTGTCACTCTGATCGGAAGTATTTGCAGGCCAAGCTGCTGTCAAGGATATGGCCAGAAAGGCCACCAAGCCCAAGATGATTAGAAATCGCATCTTTATTGGGGTTTTACTTACTGCAACTAATGTCAAGTGCAGCCTTTCTTTTTATACGGAAAGCTGGGCACTTTGTTGGTTTTAATTTTATTTGTTTATTGCAATTTAAGCTACAAGCTGTATAATCGTTAGATTGTATTATCAGCAAATATACATTTTAATTGCAATACTTAATAGCTTCCTTTACCGGAGAGTATACCTAAATAATAACGTTTTATATATGCAACTTTACAATCGATTTAATGCAATATAAGCAAATATATATTAAAGTTTTGAATAGGACAACTTTCTTAAGTAACTTTTTTATGACCCTTAATAACTTGAAAAGCACAACTAAATAAGAAAAGTATTTTATTCAACTAAATTTGGGTATAATTAAGCCTAATCATTTGCTTTATAATAACATCTGATGACTACTTTAACAAATTTACTGAAATACTTCCTTTACGTCACAAGTTTGGTAGAACGAAGGTTCAAAATAAATGGAAAGCCATGCCACGGAAACCATTTGTATGGACATCCTGGAGCAGTTGCATTAGAGGTGCAATTATATTTTATTCCACTTGAATCAGTTGGCCAGGTTTGAGCCAGGGAAAGTCCCAGGAAAATCACCAGACCAAATAAGATTACAAAGCGCATCTTTATTCCAGTTAATTTCACTGTCACTAATGTGCAGCTTTCTCTTTTTATAGAGAAAATATACAAACTTTATTTGTTTAAAAGACAAGCTGTGTAATGTTTATATTGCATTTTTAAAAGTAAATATACATACTTTAGCTTCTTCAGAATAATTTATCAATTTCTTAGATTATTTGTTGTAAGAATTTATAATTACTGGTAAATATAATACGGCTTCAGGGATATACTTTTATTTAGAATATATTAGTATTTATTTTGGGGTGTTAAAATAATTTGTATCTTTATTAATTACTGGTTACTGATAGACTGTGTGAAAATATCTGTTGGATACTTTTAGGCATTAGCATTTTGTGAATAGAATACAATCTTTAAATGCCACTGCTTTTCTATATATTTTTGTATTAGAAAAGTAAAACATCATTTACTTTTTGGGTATCAAGATTACATTACCTCAGACACTTTAAGATGTATCTGAATAATTTGTAAGAAGCTTAAAATTTCTTAGGGAACCTTTCCTTGTTCTTATGTTCTTTTTTTAAAGGTTCCTATAATTAACTCTCTTCTTTGACTATTATTAATCGAATAAAGTTTCTATTTCAGTAAGACTTATTTGATTTACTTATATATTTATTTTAATAACATTTTCATTTGTGACAGAAACTGTTTAATAAATTAATTTAGATTAGCGAGGAACAAAGGCCTGGCATGAATATAAACTGGGACATGATTGTGTCTAGGACGGAATGAATGTGGCCGTCTCTTAGGAGGGACATTCTTGGGTGGAGCCTCCTGATCCTGATCACTGCTGTCTTCTTCCTTGCTTTCTTCGTTGCTTTCTTGGTTATTTTCCTCATTGTTTTCTACGTTGCTCTCCTCTCCATTGTTATCACCAGAAGATCCATCTTCGGAGGCATCTCCATTGGATCCTTCCTCTACAGCAGGTTCACCCTCGGAATCATCTCCATTGGTTCCATCATTATCTCCACTGCCCTGTTCGGAGTCATCCTGGTTTTCCTGATCATTAGATTCCTGATCCTGTTGAGCAGCAGCTCCCCAAGGCTGATCATCTTCATCCTCGTTGTTGTTATTGGATGAATTCTCATCGGATTGGGAGACCACAGAGGACTCCTCCTCATCCTCAGCTGGACGGGCAGCCACAAAGCCAACAGCCAAGAAGGCCAATAGAGCAAAAATAATCAGGGAACGCATTTTTTTTTTTAGAGTAAACTCTTCAAGGTATTCAAATGACAACTGGTTTCCAATTTCGCATATTCATTCGCTTTTTATATGAAAAGTCTGAAGAAATTTTTGCGCAAAATCGTTTGTTATTTTCTTTTTGAAGCTTCAATTACGCATTTTATATTTAAACAAATGGTTCAGGGGGACGGTGTTTTACAATTATTATTATTATTAAATTATATGACGCATATTAATTGCCAAATGTGTGTATTCCAAAAATTGCCTAAAACGCCATCAGGTTTCAACGAATTTAATGCGTCAGAGTTTGTTTATAATTTTGAAGATCAGAAAGAACTATACAACTTTTTGTTTTCTTCTAAGAATTGATTTTTAACAAAAGAGAACGGCTGAAAAAATAGTTTATTTATTCTAAAATAATATTTATATGCTTGGTTTATAGAATCTGTTGTTATCATATTTTTTTTTAGAAGTTTCGAATGAAAAACACATTTTCGGACGCTCAAAAGTATAAAAATTGAAGATCAATATCAATAGCCGAGTCAATCTAGCCAAGTTTAAAACATTTACAATTTACAAGGTACCATTTAAATGTAAGCCCTTTTATTATGACCTATTATTATTATTTTATTCTATGATATTTAACAACTGAATCATATTAAAATTGGTTTAGTATTTCAAATATAGTTTATTGTTTTCTAAAAAGTAAACAAAAAAATACAATGCAATTGTTTCTTAAAGAAATAATGCAAAACGTGTTGATTGTATATTTAATTTCCAAAAAATTTATCGATATAAAGAAAACTCCAAATATTATCTTTACCCCAAGGGCATTATCAGAGTTCCAAGTATTTATTAAAAATTAAGAAAAACGTTGGCCCATTAGGCTATTGTTATTGTACTTTGTATCTGTGTGTGAACAGGTGTGTGCTGCAAACAGCTAATGAACGGCATAAACAGGTAATATTAATATTGAATCAACATTTCGGATGATAGACAAGTCTCAGTGTGAATTCTACTCTTCATTTTGGGGCTCATCGCTCTCATTCTGAGAATCATCATCCTCCTGTTCATTCTGGGCTCCCTCATCATCATCATCCTGAGATTCTGGTTCTTCTTCATCCTCATCCTGAGTATCATCGGAGTCATCATCTTCATCTTCCTCCACCTCAGCATCATTCTGAACGTCCAGATCCTTTTCCTTCTCACCAGCGATCCTCAGATTCTCCTCCTCATCTACAACATCATCAATATCGACAGGATTGGCCGAAACGGTGGCCAAAAGCACACAACCAAAGAGGGCTAAGAGGAACAAGACGCGCATGGTGGGGTTTAGTTTTTTAACTAATTATAAATCCACGTATAAAATACGTTTTTATAGCAAAAATAATAGAGGATAACAAATTTCTATGCCCCATTTTTTGTTTATTCGCCGACAGCTGTTGCCTTGGTTTTTAGACCAACAAAATTTGGCAGAAGTCATGCGTAAATATTTGGTTGAGGGGCAACTTGGATTATAAGTTTAAGAATACAGTAGAAATTAGTTAACTGGGATTTATAATTATTAATGGAGTTAAGGGAACTGGATCGTGTAAGCTTTATAATGTATAAACGGGAAAGTAGTGATCAACCCTTTAACACAACTCGCTTTGATAATCAATTTGAAATGATATGTCTGTATAATAATAGGGTTTTTAAGAGATTAATAAGTACCATAAATGTATTACCTATCAAAAATATTACCTATATTTCCTATATAGTAATATTAAGGGGAAAATGGTTTAAACGTAGTACAAAGTTTTTAAAAACCAAACAAATAAAAGTTATAAGCTCAAATTTAAGTATATTTCTAAGCTTAAATTGCAGTAAGGAAGTTGAATAATGAACATGAATGAAAAATGAACTTGAAAGATTTATATAAGGTTTAAGGGAAATTCATACTAAACAACACTTATGGTTTTTATTTCTTTTATTCAAATCTCCAATTTACTTCCTCTAAATGATGAAAAAACATCACAACTACAAGAACTTCATCTCTGTACTCTAAGTTATCAAATGATATGATTCATATCATATATATTCCTTTCGATTTCAAGAGTTTTCTAAATATTTACACATGTGTGTTTCGCTTTGAAGTTCTTTCGAGAAACTAAAACTGAAAATAAAAGTGAACCTCCACGTAACCTTCATGACTGTTGGTTCAGTGTAATCATGTCCCAATCATTTGATCGATTTGTACCACATATTAAAGATATAAAAACAAAGCGAATTGTACTGGAAATCATAGTCTCAGTTGCACTCAGCAAGTCTAGTTTTTCTTGTGGGAAATCATGCGCTCCATTGCCTTTGCCGTTGTGATCTTTGCCGGAATCCTGGCCTACAGCAATGCAGCTCCTCAACTCTTTTCGAATCGTTATGATTTGGGTTGGTTGGAAGCCATCCTTAGGGAGGCAGGACAAAGGAATAACACGGTGCGATTCGGTAACAACACAGTGATCATCTCAGGAGTATCCAATGCTCAGGCTAATGCCAATGATGGAACCATCAGGCCAGGACCACCACAGAACCAATGGCCTAACCCATGGTACAACAACAGATATCCTTACAATAATGGTTACCACTATTACCGCACTTTGCCCACTGAGAACGGAGAACTGAAGATTGTGGAGGTGCCAATGTCCAGCAGCGAGGAGGAATCCCAGGAGGTGGCCTACGATATCAGTGACAATCAATCCGCAGAAGATGTTTACCATCAAGAGGATCAAACCGTAGAGGAGGACGAGGAGGATGAGGAACAGGATGAGGAATTGGATGAGGCTGAGGATGAGTTGGATGAAGAACCAGAGGATGCTGAAGAGGCTACCAATGAGGAGCATGAGGAGGTTGAAGATGAGGAAATCGATCCCGAGGAGCAAGCTGTTGATGCCGAATTAGAGGTCATTGAAAAGGAGCTGATTGCCAAGGAAAGCAATTAAGTTTGTTTGAAATATTAACTTAACTAACTCAAAAAATGCAATAGAATATTTATAAACAAAGAAAAAAAAAACAAAAACTAAAAATCAATCATGAAACAAGAACCTTTTACATACATTTCATTTCATATTTTTGGGATCATCAAAAATAAAAAAACGTATATACAAAAGAATTAATTTGTTTTATATTTTTCTAAAGCATAATTTTGGATGTCAACTTAAGTGGCACTGAAATTAAAAAAGTTTGTAAAAAAATAATCTTAGATTAAGAGTTTCAAAGATTTTTTTAAAGACAAGAACTTAAACTTTTTAAAACTCCATATATCCCAGCTTAAATTCTTACTGAAAAAGACTTTGGAAGTCCTTTTAAGTGTAAGAAATATGTACATTATAGATATCTATGTTAACAATATTCATTAAATATCTTATTTTAGATATTTAAAGAAGCATAAGGAACTCAATTTACATTATAGATATTTAAAGAAGACTATTAAATATCTATAATGTACATATTTTTTACAATTAAATGGAGCTTCCTTATTCTTTAAATGTTATAAAACCTTGTTTATTTCCTCTTAAATTTGTATAGAAGCTTCTCCTTTTAAAAAAAAAGCAAAGCGAAAATCCCATTCTTGATATTTGTTTATTTGCTGGCGCCCACTAGAAAAATCTAATGATGTTTATTTGAATGCACAATCTGTGGCAAAAATCTCTGGGAGCAGTGAAAGGACTTTCTGTTCCTCCCATTCCCCCACAGATTCCAAGTACAAGGACAACAGGCATTGACAACTTGTGCGCAATTGTAAACAGTCCGAGGGAAAAAACGAAAACGAAGACGAAGGCTTGGCTTGGCTAGAGAAATAAAGTCGCGATGCCAACACAAGTCAGGTGCTCGACGAACAAAAGAAAAAAAAGGTGAATTGCATTATAATGCGGCGCGTGTTTGTAATTTTTAATGTCGACAATGAGATTAGTTGGTCGGCGGTTTGGACTTGTCATGGCTTAAACGGCATCCACATGCGCTTAACTCGATTGCCACAGAGTGCTTGGCCATGTTTCATGTTTCGTGTTGGCCATTTGCCTATGTCGACCGTCCAACCACCCACCACCCACCGCTCAATGCCAATCAATGTCACGCACACAGGCACACTGATTCGAAGGGACATATTCACGCACGCATTCCCCTGACAGGCGTCCGTAAGGACTTAATCATAATTTGATTCAAGTTCGACTTGGCCTCGTGCCACTGACGGAAATTGTAGCATACATTTCAGCGCCGCGCTAAAAATAATCTTCCCCCGAGACCCGTCCGCCTCGGAATTTAACGCAAAACCTGCCATAATTGCCATTCTGTTCTTTTTTTCAATTCAATTACACAGCCTTAGGTTCCGCATAATTAAAGAATTTTCATTGGCATTGCAAGGGGGGGGGGGATTTAGCGAAAACACCTTTTAAATGTTGAAATTCCTAATTACCGATTAGCTGAGCTTTAAATAATTTTGTTTAGACAAATTCAAGTGAGAGGAATTTAATTATTTTTGTGTATTTAGGTGGATTTTTATCATTATTTGAAGGAGTAGGAAGTAATTTGAATGTAAAGATAATTTTTTAAGGAAAAAGTCATTCAATACAGCTAGAAAATATCATAGAGAAGATAATGTGTATATTTTTAGCATACAAAATATTCATTTAACTCGCTCATGAAATACTTTTTTTTTTAAATCTTCTCAATAAAACCAAGATTAATTTGTTTACCTTTAAACTTCACATTTTCTCCTCTAATTTTTACAGAAGTTAATTAATTCCTTCATCGAAATTTCCACCAAAGGAATCACCAATGAAAAATCGCATTCAATTGAATGAACATCCCTTATAGAAATGTCATCTTTGATTGAATTTCCATAGAATAAAAGAAAAGTCTTGGACTAGCTTTCAATGTAATTGCATTAAAGTTTTTTGCCTGAACTCTGGTTTTAATTAAAATGGAAACCGTTTCTAGCGATCGAGCTTAGAGGCCACAATATGAATTGGCAGACAAAGGGAAAATAAGCCACGGAAAGCACCCATTTCCTTTTGCTGACTCGGGAGACAATTGCTCAATTTCCACATGCCTCTTTATGTGTATATATATATATGGTCAACAGTCCGTGCCTCGGAATGGCATCACATGTTCATGTCCATTACACTTGACCCCTTGGTAAACCCCTTTTTTTCCTTCGATTTCACCCATAAACCCCGCACAAGTTGCCCCTCTTTCGTAGAGATGACATTCTTGCCTGCAGTCTGTGTACGTTTCGGGTTCAAAGCAATTCGCTTTATGGCTGTGATTGCAATCGATTCCTTAGCCCAGTTAATGGGCAAACACCCACATATACACATGTCTCATTCCCTTTCTTAGCCACTGACCCCGTTCGATTGTCGACGACCTTGTCCTGGCTGCCGTCAATTAAAGTAATTCTCTTGGCGGTTCAATTGGATTATATAAAATAACATAAATAAGACGGAGAATAATTTAACGAAACGGAAAACAAAAAGATTTAATGGAAAAGTAAGAAATTTGTGACAACCAAGATTATTAGAGAATTTATTAATGGTTAACATGGTTTACTTGATAGGGAAAATATTATTCTATTTTCCCATGAACTTATTCCACATTTTAAAGCCCTAAACCCAAGTGCACTAAACCCTAAAGTTTTATAATTAATACAAAGAATTTGTTTAATTCATTTGTTATATAGTTCTTGGAAACATTTTTACTTATTTTTCCAACTAAAAACAAATGAAATTCCACAAACAACAAACTTCCAGCTTAGTTCCCAGAATTTGTTGTCTCTTATTTCGACCTTTTGCCAGGTCAAATTATTGCAATTGCCGCACAAAGGAACGCAATTGCTATAATTCCTGTTGACACAGTTGACATGTTTTGGTCAATTTGACATGGTCTGGACCCCATGCACGGTAATTTGCATACAACAAAAAAATTACGAAACTTGTGTCTAGTCCCAGAAGGGAGTCGCCATCGAGGCAATGTCCCAGGACACACTCTTTGGGGGCGGAGCGAAAATATGCCATGTGTTGGCTTTAAATTATTATTTGTTGATTTTGCGGGTTCACGGCTTATGACAGGACGAAAAGGGAAAGCAAGAAAAGCGAGGAAAAAATAGAAAAATAGAAAAACAGAGAGTGGCATTGAGTTTGTGGTTTTAGAGGTCAGTGGCTTACATTAAAAAATGTTGTTGTGGTTGAAAGAAAAATAAATGAATTTCAGGAATTTTTATTAAATAAGAGGATATTAATCAAGCTGTTGTGGAAAACAAAAAATATATATGTACAATATTTATATTTATATTTATGTACAAATTAAGAAAAATTAAGGTACATTTAAAGGTAAGGAAACCTATAAAATATTAAGCTTATTATTCCTGACTTAAAATGCATTTAAAAATGTATTTTTAATAACGAGTTCGAAAATCTGTTTTTTTTTTTAGAAAATAAATCATATCTCAGCTAAAAATGCATTAATTTCCATTCGGAAACCTTTTCTATGCTAGTTTTTATATGGTTAACAAAACTGCATATTAAATTTAAAAAGTAAAATTTGTATTAATTTTTGAAAATTTTTACGATGTAACCCCTTATAAAATTTTGTGAAAAAATTTTAAAAATTTATTTTTTGACCAGACATGGCCAGATCAATTCGGTTTTTAATGCTGATCAAGAATATATATGATTTATAGGGTCGCAAATGATTTCTTCACTAAGTTTTAAGCTGCTGACTGAAATTATAATAACCTGCAAGGATTTTGTTTTAGAAAATAATATTTTTTTTACTACTTTTATATTTAATATTGCATTGGTTCTTATTTTTACAATTCTAATATAGTTATATAGCATATAGTTATATATAACTTCATGTTATATTATATTTTCGTTCCTTTAAGTTCCTAATTCTCTCAAAAAAATGTACATAGTTTCTCTAATAACCCATCAATACCCTTCAAATTTATTTATCCCCCTACTCTTATTTGTTATATTAATGTTTCTGGCTAAAAATAAGCTCGGAGCTAAACAAAATTTCTTAAGTTTTCCAAAGAAAATCCCTCCCATAACTCGTAGTTAACCCTGGTCCTGGCTAACACACACACACTCAGACACACACACACATTCCATAACTATGCTCATCTCCTGGGCAATCATTTCCTTCAACGTCAGACGCTAATTTCTGTTTGCTTAAAGGCCACATATTTTTTTCCTTGGTCCTCGATCCCTATACCATTCCTCCCTATACCATTTTCCCCCGGGAAATGCCAACTCTTGCCCACAAATAAACACACAGCCTGTGGATCTGTCCATGTGGAAACGGAAGTGTTTCCAATTGTTATGTCAATGATGGTGATGGCCTGAGCTCTCATCAAGTCAGTTGAGTGTCAAGACGAGAAAAAGGAAGAGTCAACGGAAGAGGTGATTAACCATTTCGCTCAGTGTATGTACACATATGCTGTCATGTGCAAAGGGATTATTAGGGTCAAACTTTCATCATATCTGATGTTTATTCATTACTTTCGGCTTATTAAGTTTGGTGTTGTGTTTATAATAAAGAAATAACGCCTAAAAAGGAATAAAAATAAATGAATGAATTTCAGTAAAAGAGCAAGTTAAAATGAACTTTAAATAAAGAATGAATATTAGGTAAAGAATGAATACTAGGTAGAGAATGAATATTAAGTAATGATAGAATATTAGGTAAAGAATGAATTTTAAGTAAAAATTTAATTTGAAGTACATAATAGTTTAAATTTGTATTAATTAGGGCCTTAGCTATAAAAATGTTTACCTAATTTTAAAGGTTACAAATCCTTAACAAATTTTATTAAAGAAAATGACAAGAACTCAGTTCGAAAGGTTCAAAAATTGTAAACAAAATATACCTAAAATAACATTATTTGGAGAGTTTTTGATTGTACCTATTATATGGTTATTTTAATGTTAAATACGACATTTATACCCTTCCAGGGTATTATAATTTAAGTCAGAAGTTTGCAACGCAGTGAGGCGCCTCCGACTATATAAAGTATATATATTCTTGATCAGGACCAACAGCCGAGTCGATCTAGCCATGTCCGTCTGTCCGTCTGTCCGTCTGTCCGTTTCTACGCATACTAGTCCCTCAGTTTTGAAGCTATCTGAATGAAACTTCGCAGTTAGTCTTCTATATACTCTCACTCGTATATATGTCGGAACGGGCCGGATCGGACGACTATATCATATAGCTGCCATAGGAATGATCGGAAAATTTTTACAAAAAAATTATAACATTTTCAGTTTTCAGCATATTTTTATCAAATTTGAGATATAGCCATTTTATTATACTCTACAATTCTGTGTAAAATTTTATGAAAATCGAACTACTTTATGATATAGCTCCCATAGGAACGATCGAGAAATTAATACAATTAAAAAATTACATCTATTTCAGTTTTAAACAGATCATCATCAAGTTTGAGGTGTAGCCATTTTATTTTAGTCTTAAATTTTGTGTAAAATTTCATGAAAATCGGACGACTGTATCATATAGGTGCAAAACAAACGATCGTTTGGTGTAGAGGAAAAATGCAAATCTGTGAATTGCAAATATAATTTATAAAAATTTAAAATTGTCAAAAAATTTGAAAAATTTAAATTTATGCTGGACCTGGCTAGATCGATTCGGCTGTTGATGCTGATCAAGAATATATATGAATAATAGGTACGGAAATGACTCCTTCACTAAGTTTCAAGCTTTCGGCTGAAAGATAGGCTTTGCTTAATTATTTGGTACATAGAGCGCTCTCCTCCGCGATTCTCAAGTCTTACACTTAAGCAAGGCTCTAGCTAGAGGAAGTTTAGTTTTCTTCTTCTTCTTTTATATAAATTACTAATTTAGTGCTTGGTGGTTGATAGACTTTGATCAAGTGGATGTGGCAACCATGGCTAGATCGAGTCGGCTGTTGATGCTGATCAAGAATATATATGAATAATAGGATCGGAAATGACTCCATCACTAAGTTTCAAGCTTTCGACTGAAAGATAGGCTTTGTTTAACTATTTGGTACATAGAGCGCTCTCCTCTGCGATTCTCAAGTCTTATACTTAAGCAAGGCCCTAGCTAGAGGAAGTTTAGTTTTCTTCTTCTTTTTGTGTGTTTTTTATATAGATTACTAATCTAGTGCTTGGTGGTTGATAGACTTTGATCAAGTGAATGTGGCAATCATAAAAATTATAGTTTTCTTAATTAAGGTAAGACGTTAATAAAATATCCCTTGATAATTGAAACCAAAACAAGGCCCAAAAAGACAAGATTCATGAAAATATGGTTTTTATTAAATTATTGTTTAATTACCATACCCTTGGCCGTGTTGACTAGCTTATTATTGATCTCGAAAAGTCTTCCAAGCTCTCTTTAAGAGCCGTAATGATCATGACGAGCGGGGATATGGTGTCATTTATTTGTTTATAGTAAAGTATACTTAACTCCCGAAAATAGTTTATTCAGCACAACTTACTAAACAAAGAACACAACAATGGTGTTGATCGAAACTGCTCAATATAAAATATATATTAAAATAAGTTGATCTATATTTGTAAAGCAAATTTTTAAGAATTGGTATGCTTCTAAATAACAGAAAGTTAACATATTTCAAGCAATGCTTGTATATAATTTTTGCAAAAGTAATTCTTCACACCAAAACCCGCTCAAAAAATAAGGATTTTAAGCTTGCTAATAAAAGCCTATTTAGGATTTTTTTTCCTTGTTTGTTTCCTTTTCTTTTTTTTTATACCCTTGCAGGGTATTATAATTTCAGTCAGAAGTTTGCAAGGCAACTCCGACTATATAAAGTATATATATTCTTGATCAGGATCAACAGCCGAGTCGATCTAGCCATGCCCGTCTATCCGTCTGTCCGTCTGTCCATCTGTCCGTTTCTACGCAAACTAGTCTCTCAGTTTTGAAGCTATCTGAATGAAACTTTGTAGTTAGCCTTCTATATACTCTCACTCGTATATATGTCGGATCGGACGACTATATCATATAGCTGCCATTGGAATGACCGGAAAATTTTTACAAAAAAAATTATAACATTTTCAGTTTTCATCGGATTTTCATCAAGTATAGCCATTTTATATTAGTCTTAAATTTTGTGTAAAATTTCATGAAAATCGGACGACTGTGCCATACAAACGATCGTTTGATGTAGAGGAAAAATGCAAATCTGTGAACTGCAAATATAAATATGTTTAGGTGAATGAAATGAAAACAGGTGTTACTTTATTGTTTTTAATCATAAATATATATAATTTATATTATAGGGATTCCTAGTCATAGAAGTTCTATCTGCAAAGGTATATAAAGTTCGGCGTGCCGAAGTTAACTTCCTTTCTTGTTTTTGATATATTTAAGTATGATATATCAAACTTAACAATATATTTAAGATGATATTAGGCGCTATATATTTGTCAAGTTATTTTATTACATCTCTCCTCTTAATATATATATATATTTACAACTCTACATCTCATTTATTTCTATGTACTTTAATCTTATTTTATCAAAGAAAAACCCTCTCAATTGTTAACTCAGACAAGATCAAGTTCCAAAGAAAACCCTTGATATAGTCAAACTTTGAACATTTCCAAGTATAATTGATGCAATTTAAGGGAAAACTGCACAAGAAGAACTGACTCACTCCCCATTTTCCATGGGCCGTGAACTTTCGCGGGCATTAATTCATTTGCATAGCTGCCATCCAAAGCTCTCGCACTCTCACTTTATCAGAGGGGGAAAAACTCACCCCCAAGTTTTTCCAAAAAGGGGAAGTGGGAGTGGTCCGTTGGCGCCAGACCCCTAAGCCCCGGCCAAAACCCTAAAAATAAACATGGAGCAAAAGCACGTCACTGCCAGCTCCCAACTCCCACTATTATTCCGGCGAGCATAGAATGTGCCTCAATATGCTCCTCCAGTTACATAGACAAAAACAAAAACAAAAAAAGGGGAGTCCTGTCCAAACTGCTCGAATAAAAATAACAATAGACCCCTTTTTTTTAGGTATCCTATCTTCATAGCATAATGAATCAACAAGTACAAAAAGGTTTCCCTTTACATTTTCGTATTTTGGTGGAAATCCATCTCTTGCCGGTCTTTGAATTTGCATAAAAGCCCATCAAAATTTTGGTTGGGAAATTGCACCTGAAGAAGGGAATCGATCGTTCGAACAATGCCTTTGATTTTCACTTCTCCCCTTCGCTTTTATCCACGAATTAACATTTTGATTGGATATTTCAATATTGCGCCATATGGCAGGTTTTGTTTTTGTTTTTGCTGGCTGGTTACAACTGTGTTTTTTGGTCAGAACTAGTTGATTTCGCGCACCTTTAATGCCTGAACTGAGCCCAGTGTTTGCTTTCTACTTTAGTCAATTATAATATATAAATTTTGATAAGATAATGGAGGAAAACTCATACTCGTACTCGTTTTGGTTATGGTTCTGTGTTGGAAGAGAGAGTTTGGTCATAAATCAACACTTGACTTGGAATTTCATCAAGTACAAATTGTTGAGAGAGAGAAACACTGTTTTATATACATGAAATTTATTTAACGAGTCCCTGGCGTTGCCTTTAGATCACCTGAGTGGTCATCAGTCCCTCGCCTTCGACTTGAGGCAGGACAGCCAGTTCGGGAACGGGAACCAAATCGGCAACGGGCAGGATTTCGGGAACAGCAACCACATCGGGCACCACGGCAGCCTCTACAGCGGGTTTATCCTCAGAAACCACAGTAGTGGTGGTGGTGGAGCTAGAGCTGGATGTGGCATCCAGTGGAGCAACCACAGGCTTGACAAGACGACGCCTGGGCATGAAGGGTGGAGCCTGATAGTTGTACCAGCTGTTGTCCCAATAACGAGGACCAGAATTCCAGCCGCCAGGATACCAGCCATCAGTGCCATAGTCGGGCCAGTAGCGAGGATAATAAGGATAACCAATGCGACGTTTGCCTACCGAAACTTGAGGAAGGATAGCTGGAGTGGCCACGGCCTCATCATCAAGCTGGACAGCGGCATTCTTCACCAGCAAAGTGGGTGCCACAATGCCAGGAGTCTTCACCAACAAGGTGGGAGGTTCCACGGCTAGCTTCATTTGGCCAGAGCGAAGGGATCTGCCACGGAGGGACACCTGACCGGAGGACAGGGCCACCAAACTGATGCAAACGAGAGCAACAAACAGACGCATTTTTCACAAAACGAGTAACTTCTTTCAACTGAATTTCTGCGGCCTTTGCTCTCACTTTTATAGCGGGAATAATTTAGTTAACTTCTAGAATATTGAATAATATTTATTCAAATATTTATTCAGTTCAAATTTCGTCTCTGCAATTAAATTTTTGGGGGGAAGTTATGACACCTTGGCAATCCGTGCAAATTATTTAACCACATTTGCGTAGTTTTATGTTTATTTAGTTGGGTTCGCGGCATTTGGGGAATCGAAAACAGATTTTCCGTTGAATGGTTGTCATTAGCGGTTTTGCAAATGCCAACTGTTTAATTGTTTCACACAATTCGGCAATTAGATGGCAAGATTTGCATTTGAATTTGGATTCCAAGTTTCAATTTCGATTTGGGGAAATTTTTAAAACGAAATTGTGATATATTTGGCAGCAAAATACTTTGCTTTATATTTGGTTTAAATTCTAAATTGCAATTTATTACTGGACTTGAAAGGAAAGCTAGATATAAGTTTTGATTTTTTATTAAATTAAAAAAGAGTAAATAACAAAGGAAAAAAAAGATAAACGTATTATACAGTCAGAGATATTTTCATTCATATATTTTGAGGAAATTTATTATTTTAATTTAATTATCAAATACAATTTAAAAGAGTCCAGAAAATGTTAAACTAATAATCTCTGTTTAAGGCAAGTAATTTTCACATTTGGCTCATTAATTGCCTAATTATAAATAAATGAGAGTTTTTTGCTAATCGGATTACGAATGGACAAATGAGGTATATTGCCATATGGCAATTAATTAGCTAATTGCAGGTACTAAACAGTGCTTTTCAAAAGTTTGAGTGACAAGGATTAAATAGAGAACTAAATGTTAACTTTCAGAGGGAATAAAAGAGGAAAAACCGTAGGAATAAATAAAAGCAGGAAAAGATTAATTAATTATTATGAATATATTATCATAAACAAAACATTTAACATGTAAAATATATTTATATACAAATAGTTTATAGTATAAAGAATTATTGTTATGAATTATTATGCATTTTTTTTTAGCCTTTTAAGACAAAATAGGTAGAGCTTGTGCGGCTCGTAATTATCAATTGTTTAATCACCTTTTGTGTGCTCTTCTCATCTCTAAAACATATATTCCAATCAACCTTAGTTTTACATATTTACTTTAACGAATTTCGTGTTATTTACCTACAAAATTTGTATTTACACATTTTTCAAACTCCTTTCAAGATAGGTTTTCGGCCTCAAGACCTTGATTCAGGCCAACGGCCTTAACAATAGTCTGATTTGCATATAACCCACTATATAATTACCATTTTCATATATATACATTAAGCAGAGTGTACCGAGTGTTCAGTTTAATTTAAAGTTTGTTTAATGCACTTAAGCCCACTGCTCCTGCTCGTAAACCACAACGTGCGACATCGCGTATACGCCATGTGTGCCCGTCTTTAAAACGGATTAAGCCAGGGTCTTAGCCAGGCGGCATAATTAAAAAAAGAAACCTTAAAGCAAGTGCGGGAGTAGAAAATAACAATAACAAACTTGCGTGGCAGGCGGAGAAGCGTAAAAGATGAAATTTAAGCCATAGGATATGCCAGTGACAAGCTGTCTCGCCATCGACTGGCTGTCTTTTCGCTTCCAGAGTCCAGATCCTCCTCCTCCTCCTCCTCCTGCTCCTGCTCCTTCTACGCTTTGGTTCTCCTGGTGACAGTGAAGCCATACAAGTGTGCAATGAAAGTTGGTTGCCTTGGTCAAGTTTTGGCAGCTGGCCTTAATTTCTTAACAACTTATAAATTCGAAAATTGTCACACAGCAACTTTAACCAATTTACTGTCATGGCCTTGGCTATCCGTTACCTGTTGGCCATAACCAGCAAGCCACATAGATAGATATATATTCATATACATATATCCTTGACGTCATTAGACAGACCAAATAAAAACAAATACAAAAAAAGGAGGACAGAGAGCGTAACAAAAATTAGGCTTACACAGGTCCATGTAACGCCTACTAAACTGGCCAAAAAAAAAAAGGAAAGGAACTGCAGAGGCGTAACGAATATGGAGAAAAATTGTACATTGAATACCCGTATATTGTTCGTTGATAAGGGACAACTATCTTATCAGATACAGATACAAATACAGCGGGAGATACCATCGGGAAAAACAGAGGAAAGCGAAGCGAATAGGCCAACTTTCACTCTCAGGAAATGCAAAAAAAAAGGAAAATGTATACAAAAATAAAACCCAAATCAGAGAGAGAGCTCTTCAAACTAGTTTGGCCTTTGACCTGGCCAACTTTTTGTATATTTTCACCCTCACCAGGCGGCTAACAATCACAGATTTAATAAGCCAAGCCCCAAAGAATGAACAGAAATATCAACTTGAATGGCAAATATTCAACAGGCGGCAGTTGGGGATTGGGATTGGGACTGGAATTGGGTGTCTTTTGCCTGCTTCCATTGCCTTTGCCTGCTGGCTTTGCCTTTAGTGTTTAAATGGCTGGGATTAGGGCCAGAAAAGACGCTTTAACTGCGAATTTTCAGGCTTTGGTCTGATGCGATTACTTATCAAATTGGATTTCTTCATCGCCTCCCTTGGCTTTTTCTTACAAACTTGTTGGGACTTTTTGTGGATGGCTTAAAGTGACATCAGACACGTCTTTAAATGGGAATATTTTTTAAATACAGTTGAGGTTGAAGTAAAAGATAATGTAGAAATGGGAATTTGTTAATTGATATTTTATCCATACTTTAAATTATTGTTTATACAATATATCAGTACATGTAATTGCTTTATTTTGGTTAATAAAAGGTAAAAAGAAATATACATAAAACGATAAGTTCTTTCTTATTATGTTATCACTTTTTACTTATTTTATAAAAAGGTATTATTTAAGCAATTAAAAATTAATAAATATATAAAATTGATTTATTCTGAACTACTACTAATACTCCTACAGAAGTAACCATTTGAATTTCTTAAATTATAAATTTAATTGTTCGGGAGACAGTGTTTATTTAATAAACTTTTGCCAATTATTATATTTTCTTAAGATTACCTCTAATACAAATGTTTTAAATAATAATAATTTCAGTACATAAGGATATTTATCATTTTAAAGTAATTGAGTATTTAAACTTACAAACCCCACCAACATTTTTCAAAAACATATAATGTATTTGATCAAGATTTATTTAGTTTAAATAGTAATTCTTACACAACGATCACACCTGTTATTCTATTTTATAATAATAATAATAATCATCTAAACATAGATTTTTATCTAATCAAATTTTAGACTTAAGATTCCATTAAATAAACCCAGATCAAATCTACATTTTCAAAATCAAATCATAGAACTTTAAAGTCCTAATTTCAAGCATTTAGATTAATTGCAAGAAGCTTGATTTTGTATTGGAATATTTGTTTTTAAACCCTAAAAAAGATGTTAAAACTTTTTTAAACACCATACAAATCTTTAGCCTCCCTAAAAATCAGATTAATTTATAACCAAAGCTTACCTTGTCACCCTTTGGATTCTTTCAACTTTAGGAGCACAAAACTTGACCGTAATATATTGTTTTCGACTGATTTTTGATTGTTTACTTTTACCCAAAGTCTGGATAATTAATCATATCCCTTCTTGTTGCACAAATCATTAATATTCAAAAGGAAAAACTTGGGAAATATGCAAATCCCAGCGAAAAAGTTAAACACCGGCGAGCCGCAATAATCGAATTTAAAGACTTTCTTTTTCAAATATTTCTTTCTTCTGTTTTTGTTTTGCAATATTTATGCGCGAGACAATCGAATAAAATGTATTTTATGCAAAGTCCAGAGACACAACCGTTCTCGAGGGAGAAACGCACACGAAATACAATTGGAGATCCGACAACGGAATTTGTTATGGAAATTAGCGAAACACACTCGCAAAAACCGCAGCCAGAAAAGACCGTTTGAGGAGCTGATGGAAGGACCGCTTGCCACAACGACAGGATAGCCAATGCTAGACGATGCGCCATTCAAAGAAACCCTGCCATATGTTAGCAATTCCTGTCCGTTCCTCCATACCATGGTTGCCGCAGGGAAAGCTCAGCTTCGCCTTCGGTTGGACTCGTCCGGCTTCGGGTTGAAAGCTCTTCTTCAACCTGTGTTGTTATCAGTGGGCGGCATGCTGTGGGCTGATAACGAGCTGGCCAGTAATTATCAAGGGTATATCCAAACGGGAAATGTTCGCTATGTTAATGGGTTTGATGGGGAGAGCTTTTTCTATCAGCAAAGGAAATTGGGAAAAATTGCAATTAAATTTATGAGGGAAAAGGTGTGGAGCGAGGGAACAAAATTATTTTAAAATATTATTACAAAGAAGGTAGATTTTTGCGTAGTTCAAGAATAACATCTACAAATTTATTTAAGACATTATAAGTTTTAAAGAGTATTTGCATTCCCTCTTTTCTAGATTACCATGGGAGTAGCCTTTGGGTGGGTTTAGGGGGCAGGTCTGACCCCCCTTTTAGATTGATTCCCTGCTGGACGTGCGAAAACATTGCAGTTTTTTTTCGCGTTCATTTGACGTATAGCCGCCCTGAGGCGAGGTACTTCACATTACTTAATGCTCGCCAACCGGCTTTGGTGTCCTTGTGCAGCAGCATCACAACTTGACATTTGCCAGATCCCAACACAAATCCAACCCAAAACCAACCCAAGGTCTCTCTCATAAACCTGTTGAGCTTAATACCGGCATTGGGGGAAACAAGTGCAATCCGTTTTGTGCTCCTGGCATATTGTTAAGGAGCACTTTTCTTGATGGTCCGTATGGTGAAGTTGGCTATTAACTGCCACTTGATTTTCCAAGTATATCAAGTATTAGCATATTTAGTCCTTAATTAATAGGCAAATCTTTTCTTTATGCTATAAAATATTTAAAAAAAAACAGATGTTTCTACTTCATTAACATGTTAACTTTTATTTTGAATGATTTTTGATGTGAATTGAATTCATAATTGTCCATTGAATCCTCTCACCCATAAGGCACATTCCATTTGTATGTACATTACAACTTTTCAAAAGAAATAATAACTCAAGAAAAACTTGTTTAAATAAGAAATCCATTATGGTTTAATAAAACTTATTAAAAAACTTATACAGTCAAATTCAAATTAAATAAACCTGCAGTCATCATTAACTTTTCCTCAACAACTCATTCAATGATTGCACTGATGAATATGTTGATGAATAACTAATGAATGATACTGCAGACTAGGGACTCTTTCAAAACTCAGTCGAATCATATTAAAAAAAAATACTGGGACTTGGATTAGGTTTTTTATGCTTACAACTACACTTGGGCGGTAATAATACAAATAACACTTACAGACGATCAATTACATGCCTAAGTTTGGTGTGGTTTTCTTGTGCGAATGCTTAAACTAGGTTACACAACAGCTTAAAACATAGTTTTTGAGAGGGGCAGGGGAAATAATGGGAGGTAAATGGTACAGGTAATTCTATATAATTCTAAAAATGAATCATCATGCTCCTAGAAAATGTCTTCGTTTTATGGCTTCACTTAATCTTAAGGGACTTTTCTCGCTGCTTCTCAATGATGCCGCGCATGCGCTCTTTTCGGTTTCTGCATCGTTGGCCAATCCAATCTGGCCAAAGAAGGCAGACCATTGGCATCATTGCTGCTGTTATTATTATTATTATTATTATTTGAGATGGAGTTGTGCAACGATGTGGTTGGCGCTTGGAGGTTAAAATCCGATGACAACATTATTGGCTGCAATGTGCTGTAGTTAACCATCGGTGGCGAGACAGGTGCATAGCTCAGGCGTCCCGTCAGGTTGTGACTATTATTATTATTATTATTATTGGTGGGTAAGTTCGAGGAGTTGGGCACAGGCAATGGTGATGGCAATGTGGGGGCCATATTGAGTCCAGGACTTCTAGAAAGAGAGTTACGATTAGTTTTCAAGTCTATAAATACTGTTTTAAATGGGTGATTTTAGGATAGAATTTAAGGTGTGTTTCAAAACGTAAATAATTAATTAATTTGCTTGATAATGCTTTAAAAAGTAAACCCGAAACCCAATTCTGTTAGTTAAAGTTATAAACTATATCTATGGCTACACTTGTTCTTTCTAATTTCTAGAAATGTTGGTGAAACATTAAAAAAAAAACTAAAGTGCTTTCATTTGTGGTGCCCAGACCTTTGGCTATTTCTTGGCTGTATCGCCCTTGCTTAGTTTTACTTTCATATTGACCGTCACTAGGGGCATCTTAGAGCTTAGAGGGGGAATGAGAGAGAATGCAATGTGGGTTATGGCATCGAGGCTTTTATGTACAGCAAAGGTATATATGATCCAAATGATCCCAAAGGGGGATCCCTCACCTTTGCTGGGTAATTGTAAAGACGGATTTGCTCACAATCCGCTTGCCCGTGTGCCAAATGCGTCCAATATACTTGATTCGCTGAATGGCTATAATGGCCAGGGCAACAGTCCTGCAAAAGGATAAAGTAAATATCAAGTTGGGATTTGTTTTGTACTAGTTAAATGTTAAAAACTCACTTAAACTTCTTTTTAATATTCCGTTGGCTAACAGTTTGCGCTCCACTTCCTCGCAGATTCTGCAGTGCCAACTGCTCACTGGCCTGGTAACCCTCCAAGGTGAGCTTCAGATACCTTTTCTGGTAGACCAAAGCCTTGCGATGTGACTCAACGCGGAGATAGCGACCGATTAACTGACGGCAACGTTCCTCAAGCTCAGTTACATTGGTATTTCCAGAGCTGTTCATCAACTCCTCGCATTTCTTCTGCAATGCCAAACGTTCGCCCACTAAAAATTGTACTGTTTCAGCCATTTGCTTATTTTCCTGGGTATTCTCCACCAGCAAGTTATTGATCTCCTTCATTTTCTGCAGAAACTGAGCCGGCACAGTGTCATCGGTGGTACTGTGTGCCAACCGATCGTTGGCCTGAGCCAGTGCCTCGGCCAGTTTGGCTTCTCGCTGTCCCGAGCGACTCACATCGAAACGAAGTTGCACGATCTTTTGATCCAGAGAATCTTTTGCCGCTTCGGCAGCTAACAGCTTGGAGCGCAGCTCATGAATCTCGGCCTGAAGCTGGACATTCTCCTGATGCTGTCGAGTGCGAGTGTTGGCCCTGCGGGTCTCTGCCTCCTGAAGAGTGACCAGCCTGGCCTCCAGGCTCTCCACCTCGCTCGCCTGGAGCGTCAAACGCTCGTTGAAGTGCTCCAGTTCGGCTTCCGCCGACTCCTTGTCCCGAGACAGTTTCTCCATCTCCTGCTTGAGCCGCTCACAGTATGCCACTCGCTCTTGGAGCTCCATCTCGTACCGCTGACGCTCCCGCTCACTGCTACGTTGTGCATCCGCTGATCTCTCAAGCTCTCGCTCGTTCTGAGCGGCCAACAGTTTGATCTCACTGCGCAACCTGTCTCCCAATTCCGACTCAAAGTCAGCACGCGGGGATTTGCGAGGAGAGTCTCCGGGAGATTTGAGGAGCAGAGAACTGTTCCTTCGACTCTCCGCCCGTTGCAGGGCTGTGAGCTGAGTCTGTAGACGCTCACATCGCTCGCGTTCCTGGTCCAGCTGCTTGTGGAGCTCATCCTCGGCATCGAGAGCGGTTTCTAGGCGCTTTCTCATTGCCTCAATGATGACCACATCCTGCTCTTGGATGTCTTGCGAGTGCTGCTTCTCTCCGAGCAGCTCCTTGCTCAGTGCCTCACATTGCTCACGCTCCACGGCCAGCTGAGCACGGAGGGCCTCCAGTTGATTTAGCAGCTCCCGTTCCCCGGTAAAGTTCTCGTCATCGGTGCCATTGCCAGTGCCCGGCAATAGATGCTCCTCCTCTTCGGTTTGCACCTCCTTTTGCTGCTGCTTCTTGTCCAGATTGTTCTCATCCTCGCTCTCGATGGCTTTGAGAATATTTGAATCCAACTGAGCGGAGTAATTCAATTCCTTTTCCACCTGCTGAGCGATCTCATCCACGGAGTACTGCTTTGAGCTATTCTCGCTGTTCTTGAGACGTTCCAGATCCCGCTCTAGGGTTAGAACCTGAAGTTCCAGCTCTCCACATCGCCGGAGAGCAGCCTGCAGCTGATCGGCCTTGACTTTCACCTCCACATTGAGTGCCTCAAGCTCTCGCTTGCGAGCAGCTGCCGCATCTTCGCAATGACCATGAGCAACACTCACGTAGTTGAGCTCCTTGCGAAGATTTTCTCGCTCCGCGGCCTCCTGAGCAGCTGCCTCCAGAATCTTGGTTTCCAACGACTCAATGCACTGTCTGTACTTTTGCTCACTTTCTTGGTGACTTTGCAGGGTTTGTGCTTGGCGAATGACTTGCTCCTTCTCCTGTTCCAGTTGCTTCCTCAAATCCTGCAAGTTCTTCTCGGCTTCAGTCTGCTGACGCTGTTTCTCCTGTTCCAAGGTGGACACTTTCTGTCGCAATTGATGCACTTCCGGTGGAGTCATGGGTTTGGGCATCTCTGGGGTTCGCATAACCATCATGCTGGGCGTTTTTAACTTGGAATCCTCTGTGAGATTAGAGAAGTTGATCTGCCGCGGCACAAGGCCAGGTGTGAGGCCATCGCTGCTCTGGGCAGTGACTCCCAAAGCCTGGAAGTAGTGAGGATGCTCAAAGGTGTTGACCGGATACGGGGCCATAAAGCCACTCAGATCGTCGGTCCGCTTGTGCGTTAAGTTGGCCACAGCTTCCTTGGATGTCTCCTGTGAAGGGATTATCAATAATGAATAAGGATTTCTATACAAGAACAAAAGGACACTCACCATTGTCTGATGCAGGAAGCCACCCGCACCGTCAGTCATGTGCAGAGGAGCATTCAAGCTTCTCATAGCCGCTCTTCGGTCCACATCCGGTTCGGGATATTCGGTAATTGATCCAATATCGCTGAGAGTGCGTGCACTTAGCTTTCCTCCTGCTCCCGTTCCACCATCTCCTCCTCCTCCTCCTGCTGGCGAGGAGATTGGGCTAACATCCTGTGCCTGGGTTGCCTGTAGCAATTCTTTTTCCCTGGCCTCTAGTTGATCGCGAAGATGATCAATCTCATCGTTCTTATCTGCCAGCATAGTTTGCATAAGATCAGGCAGAGCCAGACGATTGATCATTTCCGTGCGAATCTTCTCCTTTAGTTTCCCAATCTCGGTGGTCTTTTGTTTCACCTCCGCCTCCAGTTTGTCCACCAAACTCCGATCCGGTTGAGTTCGAACTGTGAGCTCTGCTTCGAGGCGCATGATCTCCTCCTTGCTGCGTTGCAACTGCTGTCTCATGGTGGCCATTTGCTTATCCCGAGCAGTTAGTTGCTCACTCAGATTCTGCACTTCACCCTGGAGTTCGTGGACTTTGGTGGTCAGATCGGAGGTGCCAGCACGATGCAGTTGCTCAGCCCGCTGTCTTTGCTCCTCCAAGCGATTTTGAAGTGTGGATATGCGATGGGTCTGCTCATCCATGCGACCTTGGAGTGAGTCCCGCTCATGTTGGAGATCCTAAAAGGAAATGTGAAATATTTGTTACTAATTATATACAATTAATTGGTTTAGTTTAACTTAGTTGTAGAAAATGTTGTAGTTTATTTTATTTAGAAGATATATTTTCCTATAGTTAATTTCCTAGAGTTCAAGTGTCTGTGTACTATATCTTTCGTATATATTTCTTCTGGAATGTGTGGGTGGAAGTCCAATGACCGAACGCTTTGACCGTTGGCTTCATCTGCATTTAACCCTATCCAACTTTCAATTAAAGTGGAAGTATTTTATATATCTCCATTGCACAGTAGGTTGTATATGTGTGAATAAACTTAAATTGTTTAAATTGTGCCATCTTTGATGGTAAATGTAAAAGATAACTTGCTATGAGTAATGTTATATACTTCATTCAGTGGTTCTTAACTCAATGTTTATATAGTTTTGCGGTTAAAATAATATAGAAATATTAAATCATGGGAAAACCTATATAGATTAACTTTAAGGAAGTATTAAGCTGTATTACTTATAATATTATATGTAAATATATGATGCTTAAATGATGTGTAATGTTTCTTAACTATAAAATATTCCCTGATCTACCGGTTAAATTAAAAAACTAACTATTATAAGCTGTATATTTTTACAGAAATTACATATACTTTAACTTTAAAAGATTTCTTCCACTGTCCCATAGTATCTCTCAGTATCTCTTTGCTTCTGCCACTTGTGTTTACTCAGTTTTGATCCATTTAAGTATATATTTATGCGGGCAGACTTCCCCCCAATGCAATCGCTCCAGGCACCCATCTCTGGACGAGTATCCAGCAGAATCTCAAACGTAGCAAATCACTCTTCTCGTTCTCCAAACAAAACAGCGGGATGCGTCCCATAACATAATGGAATTTATTGAGGCATTACAGCATCATATTAGTGTTTCAATTGGGGATGATGCACATTTGTAAACAAAACTGCACTTTAACGCATTCTTTTCTTATAGAAGAAGCGACAAAAGGAGCAGGCATGATGGAAATGTGGCAGGTGCCAAGGGAGGCGCCAAATGATTTGTTTTTATTTGAATTCTATTTTTCAACTGAAAAGAAATATAGTTCCGAGGCTATTTTTGAAGTGGAACGAACCGGGCAAAATGGGGAAAAGGGAACAGGAACACCAAAAGATTTATTTATGACATCAAGTGTGCCAAATTCCCGCAAGTTTTTGCCACAAAAAAATCACAAAACATCTCTATTAGAAAAAGCCCACTTTGAATGCATGGACAAAACATTATGACAACGGGCAGCCACAAACAAATTCAATTCTATTATATTTATTTATATTATGATTGCCTTGAAAAATAAATAAACAATTGCTGCCACAGGCACATCAATTGTCTGTCGCACAGAGAGCTCAATTTTCGGCGGGACCTTGGATCGAATATTCAAAAATATATTCATTTGAAAAACTCACTCGCAACGGAATCTTTGGATATTGAAACATTTCACTTGCAGTCTTTATTTTGTGTATTCTTTTATATTTCTTGTATATAGATTTATCTCTTGGAACGACATATAAATATCATTATTCAGTTAGCGATATAAAATGAGATATAAGAAAGCGAACATTTCCTCCGTTTCTGCCGTTCACAATGCCTTTCGGAAGGCAACTGAATAATGTTTTCGATCGAGAAAGCTAAGAGAATATGTATGAAAGGGTAAGGGAGGGAAATCAAGAGCAGAGAAGCATCTAAATATATAAAAAGCATCAGTTGAAATTTAAAATTAGCGCTTTAGCAAATACTCAAACCTATTCGAATTTTATTCGAAAACTTGATGAACTAAAGATCTTAAGTTGCGACACGAACCAATTCATTCAGTTTTAAATATTTTGTTCAACAAGAAATTAAACTAAAAATCACAAAGATGGAATCAAAAACTTATATATAATTATAAAAATTTCTAATAATAAAAAATACAATTAATTAAAATAAATAATGTATAATTGTTAGTTGTTAATTATTGTTATTAAAAAAATTTTAATTTAAATAAGAATTTAATTCAAAAAATAATACAATACTTCTAAAATAGCTCATTATTTTAGAGATGAAGGAATTAAGAAATTAATTTTAACTCCAGTAGCTTGTACACAAACCTATAGTTATCGAACTCGAATTCTTATTTAGCATAGACATTAACCCAGAGTATCTTACTCACCATATAGCCGGTACGCATTTGCTGTGCCTGCATCTCCAGATCCCGTATCCGCTTGATGGCCGCCTCCTCCACCCGGGTGTGCTTGTCCAGCTTCTCGGTGACCCGCTGCACATTCTCGATGGTGAGCGATGGATGTGTGGGAGAACCCTCTGCCGTGCGATCTTTGCTGCCATGAACGGAAACATCTTCGGTGACACTCAGACTTGTTGAATTGGAGGCCGTGTTGGAGTTGTGCAGTGACTCCAGGACTTTGGTCTTCTGATCCAAGGTGGTTTCGATATCACGCAGTTTTTCTGCCACTTGACTGAGAACTTGTCCCTGTTCTGCTGTGGGTCTTCCAAGTTGCAACTTCTCCTCCAGCAATCTGATGCGAGATTGATAACCTTCGCCGATATCCGTTTTCAGACTATGCACCTCCTGCTGCAATGCATCATTATCCTTGATCTGTAAGCTCACATAATCCTCCAGTTGCTTGGCCTTCTCGGTCAGAACCTGTTCATTGATGGCCTTGGTCTGGACTTGGGTCTCCAGTTCCGAGATGATTTCCCTCAGCACAAATATCTTGTCAATCGAAGCCTTTAGTTCCACCTCAAACTTATCCCTCTTGGCATTCGATTCGCTGAGCTGATGGCTCACCTCTCGCAACTGACCCTCCAGCTGGGCATACTGCATAGAATTAAATGTTAATTTTAATTAGTAATCTGGAATTCGTGGTGAATTAAGGTGAATGGTGGTGAAATGTAGTAAGTGTGCGGGTGCAATCATGTCCAGGATTAGTGACCAACTTACATGCTTTTTCTTCGAAAACTTCAATTATATTTTTGTGTGTATTTTGTGCAGGCGCAGTGGGAAGAAAGGGGGTACAGGTGCAAAGATTTTTTAAGTTTTAATTTATTTTTTAGTTGTAGTTTAGTTGCAGTTTTGTTTACGGGGTGCATGCAAAAAGAGTTACAATTGTTTTTAGATTCAATTAGTTTGTTTAATACAAGAAACATTTAGGGTTTTATGCTTAAGAGGACCATAATACCAAACTTAAATAATAATTATAATTTTTAAATGCATAATAAGATTGTAATAAATACCAATATACTATACATCTTGATCTAAATATGGTGTTTAAATAATAAAAAACTGTAGTTCAATATCTTATATGTGACTTTAACTTGTATAATAATATGATAAGTGAGAAAAGCTGCTACAAAATAAATTATTAATGATACAAATTTATAATAACTAACTTGAGGAAATTCTTGTTATTATATAACTTTTTAAGTGTGAAGATTTAATAGTTTAAAATAGAAGAAAAAGCCTCATAAATCAACAAAATAATTTTGTAATAATAAAAATTCCCATAAATCAACATTAAACATTTTGTAATAATCAAAACTAGAACAAATGAATTAATCTTCATATCACACTTGTAAATTAACCAAAAAACTTTTCTAACACTTCCTCATAGATCATTTTAGAAACAAAGTGCCTGCATATATCCAAGTGACATTGAAAATATATACACAATCCCGTTGAGATCTTAAACTTGAGGTAGTTTCACTAAATGGAATCCGATTGAAAGGCTACGACTGGCGCAGACACTTAAGTGTATGTGTATTTCTCCGGGTCTATAAATATGTTGGCACGTTCTTACAAAAGATCTAGCATATATACACAGAGATATAGATACAAATACAGAGATATTGGATGCTGCCCTTGACTTCCCCCCTATTTGGATTTATACTGAAATTATGACCAACAGGTGCCTAAGACTCGTGCGATTTTGTAATGCTTTCCAGACTTGAATTAATTCCAAGCAATTTTGTGTTTATATTAAAGTAGAGGTGCATAATTGTGTCAGTTAATAAAAAAGAGCAAAACATTCAGAGGAAACTTAAATAACTAAACTTATAACCAAAACTAAAGCTATAATAATAATAATACCAAAAACAAATAGAGATATATAGAGAACAAAGAAAAGACAGAGAAAAAGACTTGATAAACCAAAAAGGCAAAACGCAAATGAAACAAAAGTCAGACCAAGCCCGAAAATCAAGACCAAGCAAATCCCAGATGTGAGATGACCGTGGTCAGGACTCACCTCCTCGGAGGCATTGGCATAGGAGCTATGCTCCTTCTCCTTGTCACGCAATTGAGCCTTTAGCCGCTCAATTTCGCGCTGGAACTCATCACGTTCCTGTTCGCGTTCAGCGGCCTGATCCTCCAGGAAACGCCTGGTGTCCTTCAGCTGCTTGTCAGCGGTATCGATCTGTGTTTTGGTTGTGGTTGGTGGGGTTTGGTTAGGAGCGGGTATAGACTTAACATAAAAATACCTGTCTTACATACTAACATCGTTTTAATTTCGATTTTGATCAATGTTTACGGATCATGCGTTTAGCACTTGGAGTAGGAGAGGGAATAACTTTTAAAGATTCTGGGATTAAACTCACCTGAGACTGCAGATCCTCACGATCCTTTTTGCCATACTCCACCACCTTGTCTCCCTCACGGCAAAAGTCTTCAATCATTTGAAGCAACGTGACTGTGGAATTTCCTGGATCCCTCAAAGGCTGTGCGTCCTTAACTGGCGAGGATGATGAGAGCAGGTGGCGTGCCCTCTCCTGCAGGGCCACAAAACTGGCGGAGGATTGATCTAATCCTTCCTGCTCCTGCAAGCTCTTCATTCCAGGTCCACCCAGGCCATAGCCTTCGTTGTAGTCTGTGTGGTTTAGGGAGTTTAGCTGGGAGAGCTGATCTCTCAAGGCTTGCAATTCCTGTCCCAACTCCGCATTGCGATCGATTGTGTTACTTAGTTGCTGCTGTAGCTTTTGGCGATCAGTCTCTGACTTTATTAGACGGTTCTTGAGTTCCACCAGCTGGAAGGATAACTGCGAGGCATTGCCTTCCTGCTCGTAGAGATCTGGCGGCAGAGAGGTATGGGTTTTTCCCGCCTCTGGACTGCTATGCTTTCGTTGATTGGCCACGCCCATTTGCTGATCGTTTAGGGAGTTGGTCCTCAAAAACTTGGACAGCACGGCGGCTGTGCTTTTCAGGCCATCTTCTGCCTCGCAGCAAAGTTCATGCTCTTGCTTTTCCGGCTCATCTAGTGGCTCCTCCGAGGCCTCATCCTGGGCACGTGGCCTGTGCAAATCCTCGGACAAATGCAATAGATAAGAAGCCTCGGACTTGAGACGCTCCAAGCAATCATTCAAATCGAAATCTTCGCTGGGCTCTTCATTGCTTTTGCTATCGATGAATTGCACCAGACTGGGATCCTCCACAACCTCCAGAAGACTGTGAACATCTGGGACACGAAGTATTTGTCGGGTGTTGTTGAGAGAGCCACTGAGCGTGACATCCAGCTCTTCGCCCGCATCTTGACTCCGGCTAAGGGGCAACAGCAGACGTTGCAAATCTTCCGAAAGTGTAGAATTCAAATCCTCCTCACAATTGGCCACACATTTGGCCAATTTGCTAAGCACACTGCGGAAACTCTTTGACAATTCCCTCAAGCCATCCCTTTCGCAAATCACTTGCTCCAGATCACGGGCAGCATCGAAGGTGGAATGCCGCTTGTTCTTCCGATTCAATTGCTTCTCAAATTCTAGTTTCATACGCGACATCTGCCAAATAAAAGTTTGGATTAAAATGTACTCTTAAATATATTTTAAAATATTTAAAACCCACCTCGTCGGCATGTTTAATATTCAGTTGAGTGATCTCCAGTTGACTTTTGGCCGTAAACTTTTCACGCAGCAAGATCAGCTCCTTGGGCCAATGCTGATCATCCACGGTATTCTCCGACAATAAATTCTGAAAATTTAAATGCAAATTCTTTACAAGAAATTTATGTTTTGTTTACGGACAAATGTGTGTATGTGTGGCAACATTCGGTTGCATATTGCAACGGAAACTAGGAGACAGATCAGAGCTTTCATTCGGAAAACTTTTCCCGCCTTTCACCAGAGCATAAATATTTATGGTTTCAAGTGAAAATATTTACATGATGAAGATGGGAAATGATCTGTGTGTTCTTTTATTTTTGATCTCTCTCAGGGATCATCCAAAAGGCGGAAGATGTATAAATCTTAATAAAGATTCTCCCCCAAGTCAAAACGAAGCAAAGACAAGAAGGAGAAAGGGAAATTTGTGGGTGGAGTTGAGGTTTATTTTTGGACGTTGTTACACCCTCTTCAAGAAACCATAAAAACCACATTAAATACAATTAAAAACAGTTGATGTTTAATCATTTCAAAGTTAAATAAAATGAATTATCAACATCAAGTTGTGTTATCTCTAAAGTTCTCTCTTTCTCTTGCTCTTTCTCTCTATATAAATATATATTTCTCTCTCTCAAAAGGGGTCATGATCCCGGCAGATTACAAGTTTTCTTTGTTTTCAATATTTTCCAATATTTACTTGAGGCTTTTGCGTAGGCTGATGACAGCCTGTTACATATTTATAAAATCAAAAAGAAATTAATAAAGTATTTTAAGATCCGAATTACTTTTTCATATATGTTTTCTATATATCTTAAACCATCTCTGCGTTTTTCCCTTTGTTTATTTTGGGGGAAAAATGGCCTGAATTTTTCCCCAGTGAAACTTTTCCCGCTTTTCAATGTGCGAGTCAAATCTGAATTTTATTTTCGTCACTTGCAATTTTCTACATTTCATGTGCAGTGCATACATGTAGTACTTGATATATATATTTAGGAATATGTGTATATTTCGTGCAATGCTACAATATATATTTTTAGAACTTTTGCATAACAAGATGCGGCGGCAATAAATCTCCAAACGAGCTGCGAAATCTTCTTGCTAATCCAAAATAGAAATCAGAGTTTTAGTTTTCTCCTATTTATTCATGTTGAGCAGCAAGGCTAGCAGACTATAGGCTTGATTCATGGTCTGAAATAAAGATATGTTATAGAAAGGGATCTCAAATTTCAGAATCCATCTTAAAAACCTTGGTAAATAAAGGCAAGCCGACCTGGAAAAAGCCACCGGCTCTCAAGGACAAAGGATGATTCAAGTAAACCATAAACATGAGAATTAAACGACGCATTCGAGGATTCATATCTGACCAATCGGAATGATATAGACAACTTGTTAATGAATTGGCCGAATTAATCACAGCATTGCCATAAATGCTGGGCAATAGGATTTGCATGATCATGGACAAGAGATACTGAAGCATGGCAGCAAATTTATTCAAATCCTGCATCACGGGACTCTAAAAGGATTAGAAGAGTTTAATAAAATAACTCTATATATTTCGCTTAAAAACTCACCATCTGCATGGAATATATGGTAAAGCAAATGGTCAAAGAGCTGACCAAAATCTGTATGAAAGTGCTCTTCGAAATGAAGGTCTCAATGTCCAAGGCCTGTCGCTTCAAATCCTGATGCACATGCACCAACTCTAGGAATTTCTCACCCAACTTTTCATCATTTCCCCGCAAATCACTCAATCTCTGTCCCAGCATCCTCAAACAAAGCGAAAGATGCAACATCATGTACCAATTGACACCATCCATGGTAATATTACACGCACAAACAATGGGTATCGTTATAAACTCATAAATAAATGGATACCAAAAGCTAATGGGTTTCTGCCAATCGAATGGCATCCACATCCAGAATGGCAATTGATTGGGAATATCGAACAAAGGTTTGATCACAATTAGGGGAATCACACCGGCACTGCACATGACGTAGAAAATGAAGACGCGAGTGTAACGACGATGCTCAAATTGCCACATTTCCACTTCCCGCTGATTCCTCAACTCAAACTGATCGGAGGTACTCCATTGGGTTAGGAGTCTTTGGGCCACATGGCCATATTTCCAGTTATTCACCATTTTGACCACCAAAGCTGTGGTGGTTAAACCAATCAACAGGACATCGGCAACATGCTCAATGTCCTTGCTCATCATGGCCTCCACCCACAGCAGAACCATGAATAATATGGCAAATGGTGTGTGCAAAAGATAATCCCTCCAATTGTTCCAATTCTCTTTGGGTATTGGTCCATCTCTTGGCCAGAGGCGACACCAACCCAAGAATCCTGTCAAGAAGCGCACTGGTCTAATGCGATCGTAATCCATACTTCCACGGGGTTTGAACTTTGAACTCTTATTAAATTACTTTTGTGGAAGGTAAATCCTTATAAAGGCTTTTCCCTAATTGATTTGGCTTGATGACTTAATTTAAGGGGCGTTCCTTGCTCGTTTACGTTTTTCAATTAAAATTCACTTAGTGAGAAACAATTGGTGAACTTTACAAGGAGGTTTTTAAAGGCCAATGAGGCAAGGTTTAAAATGGGAATAATATGATAGATTTCCCCATAGTAAGGCTCTTTAAATAAGGCTTGTTAAATATTATTTTCCATAAGAGGTTTTTGAAGAGGTTTTACTTATAAAGGAGATAATATTATAGATTTCCGTGTACTTTTGTTCTTTAAATTGATTGTTAATTTCCCATAAGAATTAAGATAAGATAGGCTCCAGAATTTTTCTATCCCTAATTAAATATTCGTATTATTTAACCCAGCAACTACTTCCTTTAAGTGAATGCATCTTTATCACTCATCCCTTAAAATGGACTAAATATAAACCCAAAAAAACAAAGATTCATTCCCAGAGCAAACCGAATATTTTGCGTCTTAAAAACAAAAATAAACTCCTGCCCTGGAAATGGGAATTCTTTGGTTTTTAATTTCTCTTATTTTTGGTTGGAAAAAGGCCAATGACTTTTCCATTTCGAAGGGAAGACAAGACATGTCTTTTGACAAAGTGCAGGAAGTTTTGTTTATTTAGAGGCTGAGTGAATTTCGATTGATGGATATTTAGACAGGAGAGTTTGTTTAGTCTTAAATTCACTTTTGCTTACTTTTAAAGTTCCTTTTTTAGTTCCGTAGTTTTCTTTAATTCTCAAACGAATCATTCAAAAACCGTTAAAATTCAAATCACATCATCACTCACACAAATTTCCAATTAATGGACACAATGAACACAACTTTGAATTTAAATAATTGTTTTGTTTGTACAATTTTTGGCAATGATTTTGTCTATTTTTCTCTTGTATTTCCACGAAAAGAAACCACTTGAAGATAGCGAAGATCTCTTCTCCGCTCTTAGAAAAGTTCTTTGTATAAAATTTGAATGAATGAAATTATCCGCTATATAGTAAGATCCCGTACGCACGCATTGAAGTAACGGAAAAGACTGATTGTTCCGAGTGAGGCAGGCATATGTATATATATATATAGACGATCGAAGAGAGCGGAAGAATCTGAGAGGTATATTTAATTTTTGGGAGAATCTGAGAGAGCACTGAGAGTGTGTGGCTTTCTCTTTATTGCTCTGAGTGTTGTTTGTGTGCGTGTTGAAATTAATTCAAATTTATGAGCGTTAATTTTAAAAAGTTATTTGGTGGGAAGAAGAACTGCATGTTGCAGGCAGTTTTCGTGTATATATTGGGGGGTGGTTTTCCCCTTTTATTAATCCCAACTTGAGCCAGTCTTTACACTTCCGGCTTGGAGTTTATTAGAGATACATTTCACGACTTTATTAGGAAAGTGTGAAATAAATAACAGACTGAGCACATGTTTTTCGTTTAAATAACATATTTTGGCGCGCTGTTTTTTGTATTTCTATATGTATTTTATATCTTTGTATTATATATCTTTGTTTTGTCAAAATCTTCGGCAGAATGTCTGCGAAATTTCGGTGAACGTTTGCCAAGATAGCCAACATATGATACATATAAACGAGACTATTTTTTGACATCATAAGTGGGACGAGAAATGTCTTTAGAAAACAACAACAGAGACGAGTTTTTGTATGGGAATGATTAGGGGTTTTTTTGTATTTGGAAAATAACTAAAATTACAGTGGATATTTCTAATAACTGAACTTAGTTTTAAGGGAAATTAATAAAAGAAAACACGAGTGTAAAACAATTAAAAAATCTCTGTAATTAAACTCATTTTAAAGTTCCTATCTGAGGTGATCCATTCATAGGATTATTTTAATAACCTCTAGACCTAAATTCTTTTAAATTCTTTTTTATTAAAAATCCTATCTAAAGTGATCCATTCATAGCATTATTTAAACAATCTCTACCTAAATTCTTTCTTATTAAAGATCCTATCTAAGGTAATCCATTCATAGCATTACTTAAACAATCTCTTTACCTAAATTCTTTATAAAATGCCTCAAGGTATTTCATTGATAGGATTAATTAAACTTTGATTCTACATTAAAATTATATATATTTATATTTTATGTTTGAGTCTAGATACAATTAATGGAAGATTCTAAAATGATTTCACAGTGCTATCACAGCTCTATTTATAACCCTTTATGGGTTCCTTCTATCTTTAGTACTTCAAAATCACTTTCCCTTTTATTATAAATCTAATGGTTTCCTAGCTACAAACTATCGTAACCAATCCCTACTGTATAGACAATATACAATACTATATCCAGTAGTCTTTGACCTTCGTTGGATTTATTTTGGGGTTTGCCACAATAAGAACAAACAAATAGTTGCCTTTGTGTCAAGCGAAATCGAAAGGGAGGTCTTTATCTATTTTTTTTTTTTCGTTATCCCCTCGTCTGAAGACGACACGTGGCCACCATATTTGGTGAAAGAGATTGAGGTTCAAGAATACGACGTAAATTGCTGGAAAGGATTGGGGCACATCCGTCAGCGCTTTGGAAAGGGGATCATTGACTGCCGTTGGCAGGTATAAATAGATGGATTGCCCAGGTATCAAAGTGCACACGGATTTAATGCTACATAAATTCAAAGTGAGTTGAAAGTTCTTTTGGCACACGTTTGTCGCCAGCATGATTTTCATGTTGCTGCTCTTATTTTTCTATCTTTGCTTATTTAAATTCAGTTTCTTTTGCTTTCATTTGAGATTTTTTTGGCTGCTTGACAATTTCTGCACGTTTTTTTTTGCTTGCGTGCGCCGCTTTTAAAAATAAATTATGCTAAAGGGAAAGGGATTTTACGCAAAAGGAAGATCTTTTAAGATTAAGACCCTAAAATTAAGGTTGTGAATCACACAAACTACGCTTGGGGGAAAGAAAAATAAAGGAATATTAAGTGGAATTGGTTTTTAAGGACCTTCAGGAAGGAAATAGAGAATGACTATGTCTAGAAACAAGCCTTCTGCTTGAGATTTCCTCCTTTTTTGTCTACTTTTGACTTAAAGTCAAGCTTAGATTTATTATTATTTTTTATTCAGATTTATTAAATGTTAAAACCTTTGGCAAAAAACTTTCTGAGTTGAAATTGATGCTTATTTAAATTGATTTCCAATTCAATCGAATGATCAAACTGCAAACTTTAAAAATATACAATCTTCGGCTTACCGAAGTTAGCTTCCTTATTTCTTAATTTTAATTTACAACATCAAAATGAATTTTTGTAATATCATTTTGTTAACAATTAATAAAACAACAAACGTGCTGTAAGTTCAAATAAATAAAAAATAAAATAAATAATCATGCCACTTGCCACATCTTTATCTTCACCTGAATCTGTTGCTCCAACTCATTGGCAATATCCTGGCGAGCCAAGGCCAGTTGCTCCTGCAGCCTTTTCTCATACTCCTCGATTATGCGCTGAATCACCTGGGATTCATTGTTCAAATTCAGTTCATCCTCATCGATGATAATCAACGAGGTATTCGCGGGACCATCTCCGGCTCCAATTTCCTGATCCCGGAGACAGGTACGTGCGGGTGATTCGCTTTCAGGCTGTGTGTTAGTTATTTTTGCAGGTAGTTACAATTGTTATTAGTCCGTTTTATTGGGTTATTACGATCGTAGAGAAGAGAAACAAGAATAAACATGCAGCAGTTAGAGAGCAGTTAGTTAGAGAAAAACAAGCTTGGTCAAAGGATATGCCAGGATATTGTTACATATATAATTATGTACCTTGTAGTCATCGTCCCCCTGGCGACGCTCATAGAACTTGACGCGATCGCTTAACTTGCGCACTTGATCCTCATGAGTTCGTTTCAGTTCCTTGATATGTGATTGGTAGAAGTTCTTAAGATCAATAACATCCTGAGACGACTGGAAATTGGAGAGAATTGAAAAATTAAAAATATTTCAAAGATGATTAATTAGATTTAAAATCTATAAGTTTATAATTGTACGAAAAGAATTAATAGTTATTACTTGGAGAGATATGTGCCTTAACTGTCATTCAAATATATTTAAAGACAACTTAAAAGAATGAATAAAATTTATAAACTGCTTACAAGTTTTCTTCTATTATTAATTTTGGCCAATTAATTGGAAACAATGAAAAATCCTTTAACAGAGTTAATAGAAATTGACAAGTGACATTTCCTCTTCTAAATTATTTGATTATTAGACTAATTTGTTTTTAATTTGAAAAGCTGACATGCTTAAATATTATTTATGCAAACTTATTTGAACTTAAACGTATTAATATTGAGCTATCTTGGCGTAACTACAATCAAAACAAAACTCACATCTTTGGCCGCTTCTGGATTATCCCCTCCCAAAGAATCTAAGCCACAAGGTGTCATCTGCCTGTGACTTGGACTCAGCAGGAGCTCAGCTCTCTTTCGCTTCCGGGGCGATGGCTCCTTTGAGGAAGTGGCCGGCGCTGCCGTTACCACCTCATCCTCGACCATCTGATCCATTTCGGAGCATTCCGAAGAGCTATCACTGGCCAGATGCTGCGACTTGTGCGAGAAGACATCGTCCGAGAACTGTTTCTCCAGATCGGCGCACTTGTTTTCAAAGTACTTGCGCAGTTCCTCCATCTGTTTGGCATGTGCAGCCTGTTGAACCTGTTCGGCGGTTTGCTTTTCACTCTCCCATTGATCCCGAGCAATCTTTAACTCCTGAACTCCTTGGTCCCGACACGAGGCCAGCTGCTGACTCAGATAGTCATCGAACTTGCGCTGGACCATCAGGAATATTCTCTGCTCCGTGGGCAAGAGATAGGTGTGGAATTGCTCGATCTGTTTGCTAAACGCTGGTGTCCATTCTGGTTGCAAGTCATCATTGCTGTTGGCTGGAAACTGAGGCAATTGTCTCTCCCTTGAGCTACGTGAACCTCTCTCCTCGTTGTCGGTGAGAAAATGTCGATCCAAGTCATCGTCGCTCTCGCTAATCAGATCCATGGAGATCTCCGATAGACGCTGGCCGGGATTCGACTCATGATCGGGCCAACCGACGCTCGAACGTTTCATAGACTCGATGGCATCCTGGAGCTGGCGGCGTAAATTTTGTACCTCGCCACCAAGGCGTTCCGAATCCATTTGGAGTTTTTCACGAACAGTCAGAGATTGCTGCAGGGAATCCGTGAGCTTGGCAATCATTTCATCTCGCCGCGACATCTCCACATAAATGTCCAGAGTCTGGGGGAAAAGTAAAGTTTATTATTATATATATTAAAAGTATATAAAAGGTGTTAGTTACCGGTCCCCCGAGCTCATCTTGGAGTGTGCGATACTCTGTGGAATTGGTCATCATGGAGCTGGAATCTCTTGCCGAAGCTGGACCCGCACTTGATTCCCTTCTAGCTGCCTCCAGTTGCAGATTCAACGAGGCTAAACAATTATCCTTGGTCTCCAATTGAGTGTGCAGCTCCTGGACCTTGGCCTCCAATTGTTGCAGCATACTGGAACTGCTTCCTACGACTCCAGTTTTATTGGCTCCTGCCTGCAGGAGCAATGTTCTCGACTCATCAAGGGACAGTGAAGGTGGTTCCTGCTCCTCCTCAATGGTGGTGCTCATGGAGAGCTGTCGTTCGCTCTCCTCCGTGATATCTTCGAGGACATCCTTGGAGAATTCAGTTAATGGAACACGCTCCATTTGTTTGAGTTCCAAACTGTTGCTGGTGCTGGTTACTTGTGCTTGCTCCGCCTCCGTGGGTGAGAGCTTGGGTGCATTGTCAGTGATCATTTGCTGATTCATGGCCATCAGACGCAGCTTCATCAATTGGAGGGAGCTCTCCTCATCGTCCTCATCATCATCCTCATCCACATCTACTTCCAAAAGAGTTAGTTCCAGTGGCTCCATTAACTCTGGCTGCAATCGTATGGATGACAGTGCTCTGGCCGCCTTGTTCTCCACCACTCGTGTTTCTTGGAGAGGTGGTAAAATTAATGTTTCCACTGTGGATGTGGGTCTTTCTGGAACCTGCTCCTGTTCCGGTTCCTGCTCATCATCCAAGTCTGTGATTAACTCTACCTTTTGGGAGTTTGTATTGGCTGTTTCCTCTGCTTCATAAGTGACCTCAATCGATTCATTGGTGGCCACAATTTCCTCCATTGAATGATCCTGCTCTTCGGTCATTTGGCTTTCATCTAAATGAGTTTCCTGCGGAGCATCATCACTCTCTTGGGTCTTGTCGTCTTCCGCTTCATGTGCCGGCTCTTCAATCAACTCGGATACATCATCCGTAGTGCTTTGATTGCTCAAACTCTGATCCACAGAGTGTTCTTCCTCGTGCAGCGAATGCACCGGTTTCCTTTGCTCCAGAGGTAAACTAATGTCAAAGTCATCATCATTGGAGGAGAGGGTTACCTCCACTTTGGATGTTGGAGCTGGCAGATCGGATTCCTCTTCGCTGTCATCAACCAGAAAGTGTTGGGCCAAATGTCCACCGGATAGCTCTGCATCATCGATACGAAACTCAGCTGCATCTGCATCCTCATCATCTTCATCCTCATCCACATTGCTAGTCAAGCTTTTGGCACTTGATGGCTGCTCTTTGGGTCGAGCAAAAGCGGCTGCCTCCGACAGAGATTCGAGCGGTGAATTGAGTTGCTCCTCCACTTCACTGATCTCAATGGCCTCTTCGATATCCTCCTCGATGCTACTACTTGTCGTTGTGGTTGTAGTCGTTGCCGTCGTTGTTGTATTTGCTGCCACAACATCCACACTGCTCGTGGTCGTTGTGGTTGTTGCTGTCGTCTGCTGATCGGCCATGTCAATGGTCATGGAACTGGTGGGTTGTTCAATGCTAAACGATGACACCGGTGACTGATCCTCCTCCTCCGTGAGACTGAGATTGTTTTGTCTCCTGATTAACTCGGCGGTATCTGTGGAGGTGACCGCATAGGGTGTACTGCTCGATGTGGCTGGTGTCCAACTGCTTCTCGAGATTATGTATGTGTGTGTGGAATCGTTGGAGTCGCCGGAAATGGTGGAGTTGCAATCATCTGCAGGTTCATTGTTATCCGCTGTGTTGGCAACATGTTGCAAGTGCTCGGAAAACTGTTGCGCATCAAAAGATGTTGTTGTGGTTGCTGTTTTTGTTGGTTTCTCGAACAAAAAGTTTAGCGTGGGCACAAACTCAACACCCACACAAGTTTTTTCTGTTGTTCCAGCGACGTCTAATGTTGCTGCTGTTTGTTGGGTTAATGTTGCAGATGTGTGGGATTTTGTTGCCAACTGTTGGGATTTTGTTGCAGCCTGGGATGTTGTTGCTGATATAGATGTTGCTGGTAACTCCTCAACAGCCGCCGCTTCGATCGCCTTATAGCTAACACTGGCACTGTGTGGTCGGAGCAACGATGTGATCTATAATGTAAATGGTATATTAAAGGTCATCAAAAGAGCTAAAACATGTTTTATTAAATTTAGAAAGTCTGAGCTTGTAAATAAGTATAAAACTGAATTGTTTTTAACCAAATTCAGGGTATAAAACATTATAATGAAAATAAGAACCCAAAAAAAGTTATTTATTATAGCAAATATTCTTTTATTTAACTAGTTTTTAAGATTTTTCAAGTAAGAAAGCTAGAGTGCTGTGCGCAGTTCGAAACCGCGGTTCGAAACTTGACTAAATCCCTCCTAGGAGAGTGCGAACAAGATGGATATATAAGTTTAAACTTTATGGTCTAATAACTACTAAGTTTAGTAGCCGATAATACTAAATATTTTTAAAATTTGTCTATTAAATGTATTTTTATTGCTATTAATTTAAATATTCGTTGCTATTTAATTTTCGATTGTTTAAAATATTGATTTGAAGCCTTAACAAATTGGTTTTCCAGCTGATTTACTAATTAGAATATAAATGAAAGAATTTTCCAGTTTAAGCTATTGAAATTTTAATACACAAACCAAGAAATTCCATCAAATTAGTATGACATTTCCTTTTGACTAAATCCTAGAACGAAAAACATTCAAATTTGTTTGAATAAGAACTAAAAACCAGAACATGCTTTGGCCCACTTGTTGTGCCACCATCTCATGCCACTTGAGTTTGAGGCAAACACGCGTCGTCTGCCGCCATAAATTTATATTCTAGATTTCGATTCGATTTAATGATGTCACCCAGTTGTCACCGATGAAGAAGAGACGCATTGTGAGGATTCTTTAGGGGGTCGTCTCCTCTCTGGTCTCTGCCCCACTAAACTTGGGTGAAAGGTATTAGAAAAAGCGACGACTTTATTACGTAAACAAGATGTGTGTTTGGCAACATTTTCAATTTTCAAATTGACCTGCATCTCAAGTGTTTTGTATCGGAGAAGGGAAAACTCTCTCACTGCCCACACCGATTCCTTGATGGATTGCAGCTGTACGTCTAGGATTCCCTTTAAATTATAATTAGAAACATTTGAAGCATCTTTATGCGTTTTGTAATAAATATTTTGTTCCTTCTTTCGAGTTGCATATGCCAGAGTTATATTTATTTTTAGGCCCTGCCCACATTAATTAAGAAAGACGACTCGATGTGTCCACTTGAGTGATCCAAAAGATATATCTATATATGTATTAACGGGTGGGAAGGTGTTCGAAACGTGTGCCACACATGCATGTTGCATCCGTTCCCAAAGTGAGTGAGGAAATATTTAGGCATTTTCCAATTACATTTCCACACACAGCTGGAGATCTAATTAGATCTCGTATGCATCTTTATATAGGCATGTGCCAAGGCAATGCATTTGACGTAAGAAATAATAAACTTATTTGAACTTATGATGATGATGGGTACAGTGGATCATGGTTATAAGTGAATGTGGGGAAGATATATGAAAGAAAAAGAGAATTTTCTATGACTGAGCAGTCGTTATGGTTCGTATTCATCAGTATCTGTATTTACATTTATTATCTTCAATTATAAATTGTGTTTTATATGAAATATTCCCTATATAGAGTACCCCCTGTTTTTGCACATCTTCTAAAGGCAATATTTTCCGTATTACGCATACGCCATGTGGGTCAGTTTGTAACGCTTGACAAATTATTCAGATTAGCCGGGAAAATATTTGTGCAAAAGTTTTCCCAGTCTCTCCTTCGTATCTTCTTTGTTATTTGAACGTCCTTGAACTTGTCAGGCGGAAAAGACAAAGCCAGGACTTTGGTACACCCAAAAATAGAGGAAGTCCCAGTCCCAGTTTGATCCTTAAAACGCATATCGGGATAACAAGTTTGCCATCATAGTCATGGCAACGTGATTTGGTTAGTTTTTCCTTCGTTAAGTGTGCGTGCTTTCTTGTTTGGCGGAAAAGCGAAATCGAAAGTTTTCCCTCCTCTTCGCAAGAACAACAACAATTTCAATTTGTTGCTATAGTTGAGTTCCCTCTATCGAAGGGGCCGTTGTTTGGGTGTGACACACATTTCATCAGGTGGATCGGCATCGTCTGGGGTTTTTTGCACTTTGCCAAACTAATATAACAATAACAATGCCACAGGCACTCCCGTCGTAAGGATAAAGGATGGATAGGGTAGCAGGACCTAGCCCAACGTCTCTGTCAATGGTGCTCGCTGCTTTCGCTTGATTTTCCATAAGATATTGTCAATATATAGGGCTTCAATAATAGCACGCATATTGGCGAAAATGATTAAATTAATAGCTTTTGCCAGGCGAAAATTCGGCAATGAAATATGTTTGGCAAAGTGGTAATAGGTAAGAGAAGTCGATTTTCTTGGGCGTCAAAAAGGTTATATAATTCTTGAGAGGATAATATAAATGTATTTCAGTTATTGCTTACTTGTAAGTTGTATTTGGAATTGTTTTTATAATTTTTGAAGACATTAAAGTGATCTCTAAGTAACTTGTTCTTGGAAATAATTTTATAACAGGTTTACTTCAGAAATTAATATAGTTTTTAAACCTCTTCAAAAAGGTGTGTAAACATATTAAATAACATGTTTTAGACAGAAAATGTTGTATAAATTACTTTCTTTTTCTGATATACAATTTCGTAGCATATTTACTTTTAATTTTGAAAGATGTTTACCCTTTTTAGAACTTGTAGAGCCCTTAGTAAGTTGTATAGAACCCTCGATATTGAATGTTTTTATTCAAAGATGATTAATTTAAGTTATTTAATTAACTTTTTATGAAATGGATTAGTTTTTTGTATAGCTTTTAATTGTTTCATTATTATTTTGTTTATTTGTTTAGTATTATAACTGAAGCTATAATAATTAACATGTATAACATGATCCCATAACTGCAACTGAGTACTAAATATACAAATATCAAAAGTATAAATGATAAATACAATGTAAGGCAGGAAATACTCGCTTAAAAAACACACTCGTATATTATATTTTCCGCTTTCTCTTTTAATTACGATATCATTTCCTTGAATACTATTAAATATCTAATTATCCATTAGTTTCAAATGATTCTAAAGACATAAAGAATGATAAAGTCAAATGTCACTTCGATTGATGCTAAAGATCACACTCACATGCAATTTCCCCATTTTGAGGCCTGTCTCTCTCCTATTCGATTCGATTCAACGATAAAGTTATCTCAATTAAATGCAATTTACAGTCACTTAAAATATATATAGAGAGTCCATGTATTGACAATTGTCACATTGTGAGAGTTTCCACTTGTATGCAAATTATTCTTTTAACTTCACTGCACTTTTCTTTTTTTATCTACTTTTTCCTCGGAGCTATAAATGTGCGGCGACAAGAAGCACAAGCGACGCGACCGCCTGCAGTGCAAGTTCTTTTATAAATAAAACGCCAGAAGAGACATTCAATTGAAATCAGTCACTCAATCCGAGGAAAATCAAAGGAAAAGCGATGGAAAAGAGCAGCGCGCCTCCGATGAGAGCGTGCTGAGAGTGCCGCGGAAATTTGCAATGCGGTTCCAAGCGGTTCCGTGCACCGAATCAATGGTCCGCTCCCATTTTTTATTTATAAACAAAATTTATATGTGGAACATAAGCGATGTAAGAAACATGAATGTGTGTGTGTGAGTGTGTGTTTGTGTTTGCGGGCAACATTTGTTGCCAGAATGTTGATGGCGCAATGTTGATAAGACCAAGGAATTCCTATATATTGTACAGTTGATAACGCTTTTAAAGGGCACAGCGATAAAACTTTAAAAGAAGCAAAAATAAAAGCAAATGTAATTAAATATAAGGAAAAATGTGTGATTTTCCTTTATTATTTCATATATTTAAGAGTTTTAAATAGGAGCCCTTAACTAAATTGTTTGTTCCTGAGTTATAACTCTTGAGTTTCTTTTAAATATTAATAAAATAAGTGTTTTTCATGAAGATTTCTTTAAAATTGTCTAAACAGGTACATTTTCCTCATATGTTAGGTTTTATAAATATATTAATTCAAGTGAAATCTTTAAAACTCAAAGCCCAACTTTAAATTTAACCTATTGAAACCCATAAAATTCATAAGTAAAATAAAAATCTTTAATTTCCTTTGAGGAGTTTCCACTGTACATAGTTTATAAAAGTTTATGAAGGGCCTTGTGTTGTGGTCGTCTAATCGAAAGTTCAAAGGCGCATTCAATTTTCGATTTCATTTGTAAACAACACACTATTTTCCTCTCTCTTCTCTTGTTTGTGGATTGTGTTTATGTGTGTGTGGATCGCATTGAATACTATCCCCCTTTTTTCGATCGCCCCAACACATGAAAAAATGATTAATGTTCCCCGGATTTCATACTCTCCAATGGGTTAAAATGTAAATACTTTAATGGATTCCCGTGCTTACCCAATCGTATAGAGTATACAGATTCATGGCGACCACTTTTGCTGCACTTGAACCAAATAATTTATGGCCTATTCCCGGGTTCCTCTTGGCCTGGCCGGCTTTGTTGACACTTGCGCCTGCCTGTCAGTTGCGAATGAATATTTCTATTTATTCTAGATGTGATCCATTTTCTTGTTTCTTGTTTACATTCGGATTTTGATGACACGATGATATTTGGTTTTTCTACTTTTTTCAGGGTTCAAACACGCGCACAAAAATCCCAAAACCAAACACCGAATAATTTTGTAGGTTATGTTGGATAATTTACGTAAAATTTTCAATATTTTTTTTTAAAACACTTTCGAAACCACAAAGACAGCACACAATAAGGGGGAAAACTAGCTACTTTAACCGTGGCCCTTAGTCAAACATTATTCTATAATTTGTTTAAAACTCCGCTAAGGAGAAAAACTGCAACAAAATAAATATAAAAAAACCGATTTAGTGCAACCGAACTGAGACAGTTGCACGTAATCGCGAGCGCGATGCAACTGAGCATCAGATCCATCGAGTGAAATCTTTTTATTTTTGGTTCTTGTGGGAGAATTAACATACTGTGACGCTCAGTGGAGCGCAACACGAGATTTTGTTTTAAAAATAATCAATCGTAAACAAAAACTGTTGCATGGGGAAACAAAAATGGGGAGAGTCCATCCAAAAACCCAGCAATGAGAGAATTTGAGAAAGAGAAACACAAAAGAACTGAGATTAGGAGGGGAAAGCAGGGAGGTTTTATCACCAGTTCTATAAATAGCTTTTAAGCAGGGATTTGGAAAATCTCCAGAAAACATTTGATAATAAAAGGTTATGCTAATAAGAATAATGTAAAGTATTTATACAAATATTTGAAATTCTTTAAAAATAATTAATTTTTGCTATACCTTTAAAATATCAAACAAACTTTTCACAACTAATAAATATTTTATGCTTAGTTATGAGCGATTTTCATTACGATCCTATAATTCAATTGCAAACTGCAAACTTATATAAACTTCGACTTTCGAAAGTAAGTTTCCATTCTTCTTAAAGAAATATGACTACTTTCTTGGTCATAGTTATTTTTCATGAATTTGTAGCTATTCTTTTTAATTTTTAACCACCTTATTCAAATTCTTCAATAAAATGACACACATTTCATGTACATTTTAATATAAAATATTTATTTATATTTGCTTTGTTATTGCTCGTTAATAATAGTTAGTCTTAAACACTCCATATGCGTCTATTTAGTTTTTGTTTGTATATTAATATAAAAAATATTATTTTAGTTGTGTAAATATTCCATTTTATACACTGTAATAACAATTGCTAGTCAGTTTTCCTCTAAGCTATGATGGGGCTTTTGTAAATGCTTTAATATTTATAAAGTACTTTCATACTTTCTAGGCATCTTGCCATAAGGCTTGTTTCATATTGTCCTGGTTTTTTTGTGTGTCCTATCGAAAATGTTATAATAAATTGCTTTCCATAGGTCAAGTGGTGATAATTTTGGCAAATTTTGTTGAGCATTTTCGTGTTAAAATTAATATTCGATTAGTCTTGAATCTTAAATAATTTATCTAACGAACTTTAAATTCGTAATTCGTGTCCAACGTTTGCTTCGTAGCTCCTCAAGGCTACAAAATTAGTTTAGTTAATCACAATAAAGGGTGAGAGCATAATGTGGAGGATCCCATGAAACCTTATAGGTCAGTTGGGATTGCCGCTCTCCTTTTGTTTGAACTTGGTGGAGTATTTGTAGAAATCGGACATCTCGAATGGCTTGGTAACCTCCTTGTATGGCTGAAAAGTGGCCTGTTGCACTACGGTCATGTTCTTTGGCGACTCGATGCGTATATCCGGTGATAAGCTGGCCGTGGCGACGATTAAAGGAGGTGATACCAATGCCGTTTGAAGAGCATTTCCGTGACCATGTCCTCCGCTCCCACTGAGATTTAGATGCAAGCTGGAATTTTGATTCTGATTCTGCTGACTGGCAGACGGTGGAGGTCTAGGTGGTGGCGTTGGCTGTTGCATTTGACTCGGTTTGGGTGGTAATTGACGAAACGGTGGTATGTCCAGCGGTTCCAATGGATACGACACCGATATACCCATTGTTTGCTCTATAGCATTGAGGTACGATGTCGATTGACTCAGCAAGGCCTTGGTACTTGTGTTTACTGCATAACTGGCACTTGGATAATTCTGAGTTGGTCTTTGATTCCCGGACATGGAGTAGTGACGACCCGAGACCGACATAGATTGTGAGGAGAGCTTGGCGCGTGGTTTGGAGCTGGCGGCCATGGCACCTGCATGTTGATTACTGCTTCCATTACTGCTACTTCCTGCCGGACTGTGAGGTTGTGAATCCATTTGTCTAATAACCGCCGGTCCATCTAGCGATGATTCTAGCCACTGTTTGGGTTTCGGTTTCTTTTCAATGTGCGTCGTGGAAGCGGATGATAGGGAGATCTCGTCGTGTGTGGGATAGCGACTAGGTGGCATTGGTGCTGCCAGCATATCGCTTGAATGTGATTTCACCTCTACAATGCCCAATTGTGGTGGGGTTAGAGGTGGCGCTATGTGTGATTGAGAACGCCAACGGTATTGCTGCTGCTGAACAGCCGCCGCCTCCATGTCCACGGATACATAGCTGGGAGCCAAGGATATGGCATCCAGTTGCCGGAGCATGGGATTACGCTGCTGCTGCTGCTGTTGCTGCTGCTCGTAGCTTAGATTACTGGGCGAACCCAATGGCGAGACATACTTCTTAATATTCTGACTGGACTTGATGAAACCCCCCTCGTTGTAGCTCTGATGTGTGGGCGATAAGTAATATTTGTCGCAGTGTACTATGATGGGTTGCTGCTGTGGTGCCACCTGTGGTGGTTGCCTCAGTGTGGCCACATTGGAGGAGTTGGCCGAGTACATGGATATGACATCCGGTTGGGATCTCTGATAGTTCATGTTCATTAACAAATGTGACGATTGTTGCTGTTGCTGTTGTTGGTGTTGCTGCTGTCGCATATATTGTTTTTCTCTGAGTGTAGGTGTGGGTCGCTTCTTTAAGGCACTCTTTACCAGCGGCGGTTGTTGTTGCGCCTGCTGCTGGGCCACGCCTATCACCAGCATATCACCGCCTGCATTTGCCGATGAGGATGATGGCTGATAATTATCATATTCCGAACTACGATTTGATAATGTTTCCGACTGTCGATTGTTGTTATTATTATTATTGTTGTTGTTACTATTGGTCATTTGACTTTCCCTGCTTTCCCGGCTCGTCGTACTTTGTTTCCTTCGCAAAATGGAATTATTTTCACGTGCCAGAGCCTGAAATTGCTGCTCATGCTTATACTGTTGAGCCAATTGGGCAAAGAACTCATTAATGCTCATCTGCTCGTAGTTTCCATTGATAATGGCCGTCTCTTGCTTTTGGATTTGCTGATATAGCCAGCTTTTTTCACTGAGTCGCTGTTCCAGAGCCAGTTTCCTGGCTTCCAAATTTTCTCGCCGAGTCTTGGGATCATCCTCGTTGTTGTTATTGATGTTGTTGTTGCTCCTACTGTTGCTGCTGCTGCTGCTGCTATGGTTATTGTTAACATTATTTGTGTTGTTGTTGTTGTTGATGTTGTTGGAGGAGGAATTGTTGCTTGTGGTTGCCGCCTGTTCCTCATCTTTAAGACTGGCCATTTTTCTGCTCTTGAGGGGCGCTTTCAATTGCATCGCCAGAGGTTGCTTTGGATACTTCGTTGGCTTCGTTCGTTCGGTGGTGTGGTGCGTATATGAATTTTAACAGGATTGAGGGGAGAAGATCCTAGAAAAGACAAGCAGTCTTTGATCAGAGAATGCCTCTTTGAATTTGTTGTTTTTTTAAGTATTTAATTAGGTTTCGTATTATTATTTGTAGGGGAATTTCCAAAGCTCTTTAGTCTCTCTGTCTAGTCTTTTAATTCTCATTTAATTGGTTGATATATATAGTTTATAGATAGATTTAACGGATATTACGAAAAATAACATCTCAAATCAATAGTAAAGTTATTGTTATAATATAAAAATACAATATGAAATTAATTTTGTTAACATTTATAATTATTTTCTTGCATTTACTAATTGATTAATAATATTTTTGGCATTGTAAGCTTATTATTTTGTAAATTTGAAGTTAATATCCCAATTTTTAAGGGAAGAGTATGCAATTTAATAGTTTTTAAAAGAGCTAGGAAATTCCCTTGGTTTTTATTTGTTGTTTTTTTAGTCCCAAGTTAGCTTTTGATATTAGAGACGTGCACTATTATTATTAGGATTTGATATTGATATGTAATGTACAGACTTAGTTTTTGTTTTGTTTTTCTATCTTCGGCATCCATTATATCACGCACCACAACCACCGTACACCTTTGAAGCGAAATCCCGTCTCCAAAAAAATGGACAGAAGAACATTAACCCAAACTTAGAGTTTAATAGCTTGCTCATTGGATGGCGGTGTTTTTGTTTTATGTGTGTTGTATTTCTCTCTCTGTACAGTCCGGCATATAAAGCGATGACTTAATATATTAAAGGCTCTGGCTTGAGCGGCCCCTACAGTGGATGCTCGCTGAAAGGAACCAAACTGGTTTCCAGGCCGCCTTTCCACTGCCAAGGGGTTGGTTTTCTAATTAAAATGAGGAAGCTCCTCCAAACGCACACAAGCCAAAAAAAAACTATACTTATGACTAAGAAATGAGAAATAATGCATAATTTAAAAACAAATCGATTAAAAGTATGGCCCAAAACAAACACACGCAAAAACAACAAAAACAGGTCAAGAACGAGAATAAGAACGGAAAACGGTAAAACAAAAACAACTTTTAACTCACCTAGAGGCGCCTTTGTTGTTGCTGTTATTGTAGTTGTTGTATGTGTAGTAGATGCTGCTGCCGTCTGCTGTTTTCTTATTGTTCCTGTAGATTTCGTGGTTGTGTTTTTGCCACAACACCTGCAAATTGAGTCTTTGCAATTAAACAATTCGGCAAGTTGGCCTTAGTCTTACCTTACTCAGATGAGAGAGAGTGAGTGCACCTACACACACCTTTTTATCGCTCAGAAATGCGGTCGCATAGCGTCGCTGTTGTTGCAACGCCGCCGCGTCCTCTCCCAAAAACAACAAAATAACATACAAAAACTGGCACTTTGTTTTCCACTTAAAACGCCTCGCGTTTAGTTTGAGCACTGTGTGTTTGAGCAATTAGTGGGTGCAGCATTTGCAGCTTGGCCAAACTAAATTGAAAATTTGAGCAAATTAAGTCAAAAAACACGCGAGAAAAACACAAATGCTGCCTACATAATTAAAATACAAAAACAGTGTGACCAGTGATGGCACAACATAGATGAGACAAATAATACCACATACCAACTTGAGCAGTCTGACCGAACTTTTGGTATTCTAAAACTAAAGCCCGGCGATCACACTGTCCTCTTCTTCCAACTGCATCCACTAAAAGGTATTTCATCAATTCGGCCGGTTTTATTACATAAATTCGCATTCTGCCGGCGATCGAGTAAAACCGTATTTATGTCATTGCAGTTGCTAAAAGCGCTACCCCATTTGCGCAGCGCCACCTTAGCCGTGAGATCTCAGTTAGCGAGAACAACGTGGAGCAGAGAGCACATTGCCACGAAAGTGTTTTTCAGCACCGCCGCTGCACCACCCGCACAGTCACCGTCACCCACACAGTCACCCACTTGGGGCACCAAGAAGCAAAAGAGAAAGGTTAATCTACGATCCGCAGCTGCCGAGTTCATCATGTCCAATCCAGAGATCGAGGCACAGTTGGCTCCATTGCGGGAGCGCGTGCAGGAGCAGGGCAATTTGGTGAGGGAACTTAAGGCCCAGGGAGCTGCCGAACTGGATGTGAAGAAGGCCGTGGCCGAACTAAAGGCTCGCAAGAAGGTGCTGGAGGAGAAGGAGCTGGCGCTGACGCCCAGCGTGGTCAGCTTCGATCGTGCGAAAATGGAGGATCTGCTGAAGCGGCGTTTCTTCTATGACCAGAGTTTCGCCATTTATGGCGGCATTACCGGCCAATACGACTTCGGACCCATGGGCTGTGCCCTAAAATCCAACATTCTGGCCCTATGGCGTCAGTATTTCGCCCTCGAGGAACAAATGCTGGAGGTGGATTGCTCGATTCTTACGCCGGAACCGGTTTTAAAGGCCTCCGGTCATGTGGAGCGATTCGCTGACCTGATGGTCAAGGATGTAAAGACCGGCGAGTGCTTCCGTTTGGATCATCTCATCAAGCAGGCTCTGGAGAAGCTGTCCAAGGCCAAGGAGGCAACGCCTGCGTTGCAAGCCGAATGCGAGGACATTATCATCAAGCTGGACGGCCTCAACAAGCAGGAGCTAGCCGATGTTCTGGCCAAGTACAACATTAAGTCCCCGCTGACCGGCAACGATTTAACCGAACCCATCGAGTTCAATCTGATGTTTGCCACACAAATTGGACCCACTGGCCTGGTCAAGGGATTCCTCCGACCGGAAACGGCGCAGGGTATCTTTGTGAACTTTAAGCGATTGCTGGAATTCAATCAGGGCAAGTTGCCCTTCGCCGTTGCCCAGATAGGCAACTCCTTCCGCAACGAAATCTCGCCCAGATCGGGACTTATACGTGTGCGTGAGTTCACCATGGCGGAGATTGAGCATTTCTGCGATCCCGTGCACAAGGATCATCCCAAGTTTGGCAATATCAAAGCGGAAAAGATGACCCTCTACTCTGCCTGCAATCAGATGGATGGAAAATCCGCTTCCCAGGTGGAAATTGGAGCAGCAGTCGCCTCCAAGCTGGTGGCTAATGAAACCCTCGGCTACTACATGGCCCGCATTCAGCAGTTCCTTTTGGCCATTGGCATTAAGCCGGAATGTTTGCGTTTCCGCCAGCACATGTCCAACGAGATGGCTCACTATGCCTGCGATTGCTGGGATGCCGAGATTCTTACCTCCTACGGCTGGGTGGAGTGCGTTGGCTGTGCGGATCGAAGTGCCTACGACCTGGGACAGCATACGGCGGCCACTGGTGTTCGCTTGGTGGCGGAGAAGCGTCTGCCGACGCCCAAGACCGTGGAGGTCAGCGAGATTGTGCCCAATAAGCAGGCCTTGGGCAAGACCTTTAAGAAGGAAGCCAAGAACATAACGGATGCGCTGGCGAAGCTCTCACTGGAAGAGATTACTAAGGTGGAACAGCAGCTGGCCGGTGATGGTCAGTACAAGCTGACCCTGGCCGATGGACAGAGCCATGAGCTGGGCAAGGACACCATCAGTGTGAAGCACTCATCGAAGACTGTCCACGTGGAGGAGTTCATTCCTAGTGTAGTGGAGCCCTCATTCGGCATTGGAAGGATTATGTACGCCCTGCTGGAGCACAGTTTCCAGTGTCGCGACGGCGACGAGCAGCGTTGTTACTTCACCTTGCCCTCCCTGGTGGCGCCCATCAAGTGCTCCATTCTGCCGCTGTCGAACAACACGGATTTCCAGCCCTACACGCAGAAGCTATCATCGGCACTGACCAAGGCAGAGCTTTCGCACAAGGTGGACGATTCCAGTGGCTCCATTGGCCGGAGATATGCACGAACAGATGAGATTGCTATTCCCTATGGCATCACCGTGGACTTTGATACCTTGAAGGAGCCCCACACGGTGACACTGAGGGATCGGAATACCATGAAGCAGGTGCGCGTCGGTCTGGAGGAGGTGGTGGGCGTGGTCAAGGACCTGTCCACGGCGAGAACCACCTGGGAGAAGGTGACGGAGAAGTATCCGCTGTTCGAGCAGCAGGAGGCAAGCAGCAAGTAATCCCATGGCTGATGAGGAACGAAATTCTCACGCTTGACACACGCATTTTCTATATTATTTCTTTTTTATACCTTTACGCCTAAAAGTTGAATAAAACATGCAACATTTAATGCTTCGCACGAGAAAAATAGTTCAGATTTCATTTAATTAGCGAGAAAAGCTAATTATTGTTATATTCTTATTGTTTGAATCGATATTCTTCTATGACAATTTTAAAAATCTCATAACTTAGCCAAAAAGGCACCAACTTCAATTCGGAAAGCTTTTCTGTTATTTTTATCAGGTTAAGAAATCTGTTTACTCAAATTAATGTTTTTTAAAAATTTTTAACGATGTAAAACCTTATAAAATTTTCAGGACTGATATCGCTAATTAAAAATATATATGATTTATAGGGTCGGAAATAACTCCTTCACAACGTTTTATTTAAGCTTCTGCCAGAAATATAAAAACCTGCAAGGGTATAAAAAATCGTTTAAAAATAATAAATAAACCCCATTTCTAGCACTCACCACGCTGGAGCTGGAGATATTCGAAGGACAAGTCCGGTTCTTTAATTTTTCTCACTATTTTCCGATTCTTTAAATCCCTGAGTTGAGCGCACATTTCTATAAATAACGATTTTCACTGGAAAATCTTGTTCATCCATGTTCGCAACCTTTGTATGCCAGTTAATAATAGTGTATTTGAAGAAGGCCAGTTTGGGCACACTGATTACCATGCAGCGGTATAAATATATACATATGTATATATATAACGCAGATAAATAAATCTACTCGCGTTTCGCGGGACCACGTGTAACCGTACGCGAAAATCAAAATAAACGACGCAATTGCCGCTCGGCTTGGCTCCTACAAGTGTAGACTTAGTGTCGACTCCGCGAGACGGTAATCCGCGATCCTAAAAATCCACGAATATGAAATACATCCTAGTTACTGGCGGCGTCATCAGCGGCGTGGGCAAGGGCGTAATAGCTTCCTCGTTTGGAACGCTGCTCAAGTCCTGTGGCCTGGATGTCACCTCGATCAAAATAGATCCGTATATCAACATTGATGCTGGAACCTTTTCGCCGTACGAGCATGGTGAGTCCCTGGCCATTTGGCTTAATAATATACGGGACTATATTATATACGAATATACATATGTACGTGATATGTGCTCGCGCCAAAGCAGGAAAATCTGTCTGTATTTTGCTTTTTGGCAAATTTTCAATACTTCGCGTTAGTGTTAGTGCTGGTGCTGTGCAAGTATGTGCATTGTGGTTGTAACGGGTCTTGTTCTTGTTGTTGTCAAAGGTCACGCGGCATGTTGTTAGCCACATGGCATGTAAGAGAAGAAGAGAGCGCAAATCGCAGGGTTACCATGTGGAAAAAGCCCTCTCTTCCGCCAAAAAAGTGCAACAATATGTATGTGCAACAGTATGTAGTACAAAGAGGGGGACAAATAAAGCTGAAATAAGAAAATACAGCAAACAAATTTGCCCTTAAAACTTATGCCAAATAATGTAAAAAAAAAAAAACTTAATACAATACGTGCCAAATTCTCTAACTGTAAATGTATGTGTTTTAAGAAAAGGCAAAGTGGCGTGTTTATTGGGCCGTGTGGGTGTATGAAAGAGATAACCAGATAGCACAGCCGGCCTGTCAGCTGTTTTTTCTTTCCCTCTTTTTTCGAGCTCTCTCGCAAACAACAAAAAGTGGTCGCACGTGTTTCTGTGTGCCGGATTTAAGTAAATTTTGTTTATAAATAAATCAAACTGGGAATTAATTGAAATAAAAAATAAACAAATTATGCGTCACGAATTGCTTACAATGTTTACAATTTATATTCGCTGTATAAAAACAGAGATCTGTCTCGGGTTCTCTTTTGCTCTCTCCCTGTGCTCTCTGTTTATGGCTCTCTCGTTACAAAAAAAATCCTCCCTCAACCGGCATTGTCGTTGTCGTTGTCGTTGTTGTTGTTGCTTGACATTGAAAATGAAAGTTTCTTTTTATTCACTCTCTGTCTCTCCTGTTTAAATTGCTCTGCTTTTTGCCCGTTTCTTTATTTTTTTTGTTTTGTTTTTATTTTGTTTTGGTGTTTCTTTTTTATTGTCACAGGTTGTTTGTTTGATTAAAGGAAAGGGAAACTTCACGTGCGCATTAAATACGATTTGTAAACAAACTAGAGATAAGCTAAAGCCATCTTATCGCTGTGCGGGTTTTCATGAATTAAATGTATTTGTTGACACAGAAATTTCTGTATATTTTGTGCCTGTGATCGGGTTTTTCTCACTCACGGTAGTATTGTATTGCGCTCACCCGCAATCGTTGCATCTCTATCTCCAACGCACTCCCCCCTCCCCCCTCGTATGCAAAAAGAACTTCTTCGACCAAAATGGCGCCATCAGCAGCGACAACAACAACTACAACAATGCGAGTGGAGCGACACACAAATTTATTTATGCAACGTGCCAATGCAATTACGGTGTGCTTGTACAGTGGACGACGGGGAAGAGTTGGGGAGTGGGGGGTGTTGTGTGAGGGAGACATGTGACGCAGCGTTGACCTGCACAGAACGCGAGGCCGATCTACACGTGCGAATTAATTTATAGGTGAAATGGAAAGTTTGTTTTTAAACAATTTGAATTTTTTGGAGAGCTTTAAATTATTTTGCTCTTTTCTTACTCCAATTTTTGACTCTCACTCAAATTAATATAATAAATTCAGTCTCATAAGAGGTGTGAATATGGCCAAGCAAATTCAATGAGTTGAATCAGAGGACAGCCTGTCGCCCATTTCTCTCATATCTTTCGCCACCCAACTCCCCCCCCCATTCACGGGGGATTACTGTCTGCTGCCTGTCATTTGCATTTTTGCGCCCAGCATTGCTTTTTGGGGGTCGAATTGCATACAGAATGCATTTCTGGGTGTTTTCTGCTCATTTGTTGTTGTTGTTGTTGTGACTTTGAGTTCCGCTGCCGGCGTTGACGTCGACGTTGACTGCGGCACATGCGTGTGCTTCATTTGTTTTGCGTTAATTCCCGTGGTGTGCGAGTGTGTTAGTGTGAGTGGGCGAATGAGAGAAGTAGGAGTGGGATGGGAAATGGCAAGGGTCGCCATATTGGCCGCTCGCTGTGTTCCATCTTATGGAGGGTGTCTCTTGTTCTTCCAGCTATGCGCTGAGTGCTTTTGTTGCTGTTGTTCTGCCGCCGCTGGGCTCTCAGTTACTTCTTGCTCGTCTTATTCAGAGGCTTGGGCTTTTGCGTGTTTTGCGCTCTGTCATGGCCCCCCCTGCCCTCGCAATCGCCACATTAGCGTTTTTAGCCATAAAAGAGCCGGCAGCAGCAGCAGCAGCTCCTATATATACCACATACATACATACATATCTCTCTTATGTGTCTGTTTGGTTGTGTGGCCGTCATCGGCGCGTCAACATCGTTAGCAGCTGTTGCTCTTTGCCTGTGCGCCATTAACTGCCGCCGCCGCCGCCTACCCCACCTACCAACTTTGGTTCCGAGATCCCCTCCCTTTGCACCGCCTCTCCACTTCCCTTTTTTGCACCTCCTTTTTGGCCTGCATTTGCTTTGTTGGTGCTTTTCTGCTTGCGCATTCGTTACGCTCACGTTTCGCGACGACAATAATGCTTGGGCCTCTGCTGCTGTTGCCACGCCGCTGCTTGTGGTTGTTGTTGTTGTTGTTCTTACTGGTGGTGCTGCTGCTGCGGCCACCTCTGCTTGCGACGCGTCCTCTTCACTTCCTCATGCTCCTGCGCTGCCCGGTGCGTGTGCTGCTAAGTACAGTGGAGCCCCACCTAAATCAAACGGCAATTAAATATGTTTACAAGTGAAAGTATAAAAGGTCGAGAGTACAGATGAAAGAAAATTATAAATCTAGAAGATAGGAATTTGAATTTACTACTAGAAAATCGTTTATAAACAGGTTTCACTGTAATCATACACATACATATGGCAGCGGGTGCGTGCGAGCGTGTGTGTGTGTGAGTGTGCAAAAATTAAATGGAAAATACCATTCCGTTGTGGCTGCTCTCCAGCTCTATCCAGCTTTCCAGCAGGATGTGACCGTTGCTACGCGTAGCTGGCGTTTTGAGGCTGAGTGGCTGCCAACCTCCCGCCCCGTTCCCCACCCACTAGGCCATCCCTCACGCCCCCCACGCCCCACACCTTATTTGCTGACACACGCATACTCACACTTACAGTAAAGTTTACTGATGGGCCCGCACGTGTCCGTGTATGTGTGTGTTCTATGGCTTCATAAGCTTCAATCCGTGTGTCTGGTCAAAAGTTTCCTCAGTTTTTGCATAACTTTAATCATTGCTTTAAGTAATTACATTGACGAGCTGGGAAATTAAGGAACTTGGTGAAAGCCTATCCATCTTCTTTTTGGCTAAAGATCTATTGAGATTAAAGTTTTCTTTAACAATGAAATTATTTCCACGATCTCAGTTCTGAATATAACACAAAAGTCTTTTGTTTTCTGTTATACTGGAATAGGCTTAATTCGCTAGGGGAGCTTTAAGACACCAAAGATGTCTTCGTTTTCCAAAGGTTTATCGAAATATTAAAGATAATATATATTACAATATATCTTTAAGGCTTCCCTGATAACAATATAGTAAATTTTCCCAGCAACAGATCTTATTCTGAAAGAGTTCTGTTCTTCGTTAGCTTAATTGCAAGAAATTAAATTCGGTTCTGCGCTGGCCAATCGCACGTTTTCCCCTCATTATATTACAGCCTGGTTGGCGGCCATCCTGCCGCGCCGGTAGGGCGGGTGGGGTGGTGTTGGGGTGGTGGTAGCCACCGCCACAGTGCCGTTTTAATTCCCCCCCCCACACACACACACATACACCGCCTCCGTTACCTCACACTTGGCATGTCTGAGCGACGGGCGCCGGAGCCAAGGGAAGTTGGAAAAGAGAAGAGGAGGAAGAGCGGTAGCCGGAGACGGAGACGGAGACGGAGCCACAGCCAAATTCACATCGATTCGCTTTGCCCGGCTTTTGTTGCACCGCCCCCGTTGTCGTTTTCGTTTCTGCTGCTGTTGCTGCTGCTGCTTCTTCTTTTGCTGCTTTTGCCTCCTGTCGCGTGATTTTAACGAGCCTCCTCTTCACGCCAGCCCCTGTCCACCCCCCTCCGTCATGCCCACATCCACTTCCACCTCTTCTCTCTTCATGGTTTATGCTTTTCGCTCGCTAGCTACTAGGGCTCGCTCGCTTCCGCGCGTTGATTGTCGTTGCTGCGCGCATGCAGTAGGCAGTAGGCAGCAAAAGCAGCGGAAGAAGGAGGAGGAGGACGTGCGACAGGAGGAGAGCAGGCCACCGGCTCCACCTCACTCACACAGACACCGCGGCTGACTGGCTGGCTGGCTCTCTCTCGCATGTGTTTGTGTGTGCCTGTAAGTGTAAGTGTGCGTGTGCTGGATAGCCGGCAATAATATGCCCAAAAGCAGCAGCAGCAATAGCAGCAACAACAAAAGCAGAAACAGTGAGCAGAGCAGAGCGAAGCAAATGGCGGCGGCCGTTTTTAGCGTTTGTGCGCGCTTCTCCACATCCCCAAAACCCCCGGCCACCTTCTCATCCTGCACACACATTATATATGTATGTATGTATGGCAATATGTATGTGTGTGTGTCGCGCCGGCAAAAGCAAAAGCTTGTGGCGTGGCTTTGGCTTTGGCGTTGGCTCTCGCTCTTGCTGGAACTGCCAGTGCCAGTGCCAGTGCCAGCCTGCTGACTGCTGCTCCCTGTTCCCCCATCCCATTGCCACAAATCCCACCTCTGTCCGACCGCCCCGCCAGATGGCTGGATGGCCTGGGCCTCCTCGCTGGCGTTTTTTGCGTTTCAGTGTGCGCTTCTCATGCCCTCACCGTTACGGTAGGGTATTTACGTTTTGTGGCTTGGGTTTGACTTTTGTTTAAATGTGTGATAAATAATTGGAAGTATAAAAACAAACAGCTTGTTATTCACTTAAATTGTATTAATATTTCAACATAAATAATTAATTTTTGAAGCATCTTGTCTAATGAATGTAATTTTTAATCTTAATTAGGGAAATCTTTCTCAAGTTTCTAAGAATTTCTTAC